TTGGCTTCAAAAGAAAATTTATACGTTGGATTAAAACTCTGTACACAAACATAGAATGTGCTGTAATAAACAATGGTTACACTACCAAATATTTTCCGATTTTAAGCGGTGTAAGACAAGGAGATCCGATGTCCGCAAATCTATTTAATTTAATTATCGAGACGTTATGCGAATGTATAAGAAACGACGGGAATATCACGGGGATAAGTTTTGGACAAAACGGTGCTAAAATTGTTGCTTTCGCCGATGATCTTACCTGTTGGCTAAAGGATTTTAAGTCGGGACGTCACCTTCTAGAAGTTTTAAATCAATTCAAGCTGTATTCTGGTCTTTCTGTCAACTACTCTAAAACTGAAGCCTACAATCTAAACTCAAGCAGCAAAAAATTAAATCAGCTTGCAATACATTTCAATTTGACAGTAAATTCTACAGCCATAAAAATATTAGGAATTTATTTCTCATTTAACACAAACCTCCGAAACAAACTTAACTTTGACAATAAACTAGAACACATCAAAAACATGTTAAACAACAAATGGTCTTTCAGAAACCTATCATTAAGTGGTAAAATTATTATTATAAACAATTTTTGCCTGTCCACACTATCACAATCCTTATATATACCTGACAAAACTATTGATGAATTGAATACGATATTTTTCCAATTCTTATGGAATGGTAAGGACAAAATCAAGCGTGAGGTCATATGTAAGGATTATGCTTCCGGTGGTTTAAAAATGGTGAATTTAAAGGAACATATAACATGTAAATCCTTTTTCTGGATAAAAAAAATATTTAGCCAAAAACAGCAGCTTTGGTAGGATATTTTCTCTTTCGCTATATCTCCTTATGACCCTCTATTATTATTATCCGGTAACTATGATCAAAAACAGATTACGATATTCTCACCGTTTTATACACAACTACTCTCCAATTGGTTTAAAATATATAACAGTAATATAGATCAACATATACAACTACAAAACCAAGTAATGTACATGAACAAAATTTTAGAAACAAAAGATAACTATAATAAAACCCTAATACAAAAGTATAATACACTATTTTTTAATTTGTAGCTGACATAATAAATTCTCCGTTAGAAACATATACACCAAATGAACTCCCAAAATGCTTAAAAATAAATAAAAACACCCTTTTAGACGATAATGGAATCCATAACTGTAACAAAAAAGACTACAAAACAATAATACAAAACGACATTATGAAAAATTTGAAACAATTTTATAAGATGAATCATGAAGATTTAAAACCAAGAGATGTATATTACAAACGAATAAACTCTGACTTCGTTAAACCAAACTCGATATACAAATGGGAAGACGAACTTGGATGTACGATTGACGACATCACAACCAAATCAATATTCAAACTGATAAATTTGTCATGTATAGACACAAAAACTAGAATGTTTCAATACAAATACATTCACAGGATAATATACACAAATTCTAAATTATACAAATTTGGTAAAGTGTCTACAACATTATGCGACTTTTGTCAATCAAGCATTGAAACCGTTAATCATCTATTTATTTACTGCTCTTACTCACAAATGTTATGGAAAATACTTCACAATATCCTGAGTATAAATAACATTTATAGTAATCTTTGTCCCTCTGTAATACATCTTGGCTTATACGAATTGCATGACCACCTGCCTAAATTTAATTATCCCAACCAAATACTATTCTTAAACCATGCAATCATATTAACTAAATACTATATATTAAAATCAAAATTATCAGAAAAACTTCCATGTAAAGAAAGTTATTTAGCGTTTCTTTTATCAAGAGCGAATTTAGAACTTAACTTAAATAACGAATCTATCAAAAAATGGGAATACTTAACAAACATCATCGACCATAGTAATTTATAAACAGGCCAATATTGATAACTAAGCGAATGTAACTGTATTATGTATGTATAAATATGTTAATATTATTCAATATTATACTATTCAAAAAAAGTAGGGGATATTTGATTTTTAAGTGTTATTAAAGTCACCTAATGAAACTGACGAAGAAACACATGACAAAATGAAATGAAGTTCACATTCATCGATTTATTCCAAATGATCGTTAGACTAAGTAAGTCACAGACTGACCATTATAAGGGTAAAATGATACCCGGGGTCAAACAGCAAAGTTACCACAGCATCACAACCAAGTCAGTAACGGGTAAATCCTCCTCTGTTTGCCAAACAAGCATTGATCCGACGTGGCACACTCCTAATGAGACGTCTAAGGTCATTTTGGTCCAGATTGTCCCATTCCTGTTGCAACGCAGCAGCAAGTTCTTGGACATTGGCAGGACGTTGTTGACGTTGACGTAACCTCTGTCCAAGCATGTCCCATACATGCTCGATGGGGGAGAGGTCGGGACTCAGTGCTGGCCAAGGTAATGTGGTGATGTTCTGTTGTTGGAGGTAACCTGTAACGATCCTGGTCCTGTGACATCTTGCGTTGTCATCCTGGAAGATGAAACGGCGGCCATGACGTCGTGCGAACGGCACAACATGGACTGCCAAGATGTTGTCCCGGTAGTACTGGCCTGTAACACGCCCTGCAACAACATGTAAAGCCGTTCTTCCAGCAACAGTGATGCCTCCCCACACCATAACAGAACCACCCCCAAATCGATCATGTCTGATGACGTTAACGTCTTGGAAGCGCTCGTTTCGACGACGCCACACCCTCCTACGTCTGTCCAAAAAATCAACAGTGAACCTTGACTCATCTGAAAACATCACATTGCTCCAGCGTCGATTATCCCAGTGTTGACGATCCCTACACCAACGACGTCTTGCCTGAATGTGATGATCTCTCAAACAAGGGATCACGCGAGGACGTCGGGCGCGAAGGTGACCCCTATGCAGTCGATTCCGAATCGTCTGGCCACTCACTCTCACACCAGTGTCTGTTTGAAGACGAGCGCTGATCTGATTTGCTGTGATGACACGATTTCTCAAGGCCAAGGTACGGATAAATCGATCCTGGGCTTGAGTTGTCGCCCTTGGTCGACCTGAGCGTGGTCTGTCCTGTACAGATTGTGTATCACGGTATCTGGACCATAGCCTGCTTATGACAGACTGAGAAACATTCATCGTCCGCGCCACAACCGCCTGTGTTGTGCCGATCTGTAGCATGCCAAGGGCACGTAACCTTTCATTTTGGGTAAGCCGACGCATATCAAAATTTGTTTTCTGGTCACTAAAACAATTAAACTGATGTTTCCACCCTGGAATTCAATGCCACAATGGCTGTAACATTCAAAGTCAGAGTCGTGCAAATCTTGGGTTGGACCCCCATGATGATCCCAAGCATCACCTGCATTCCATGCGGTAGCTATTGGTGCGTTTGGGCGTCACATGTAACTGGAAATGTTTCTTCTGTTAGGTTCTATAGTGACTTTTTTCGTAGTCATTTGCATATTTTAGTATTATGCCCCCAAAATCAAATATCCCCTACTTTTTTTGAATAGTATATATGTATATTGCTACTATTGTAATTTGCTTATATACCTTTCACTGTAAAAATTATCTATCAGTCAATAAAATATTTAAAAAAAAAAAAAAAAAAAGAAACAGATTGTTGCAGCTGCATTCACAAATAATAATCGATGCCCAAAAAATGTCGCACAAAGCAGAGTGGATCCAGACAAAATTTTTTAATCCATAGTCAATTCAGTATACAAATTCCGTGTATTTAATTAAAGTGTGTTTTTTTTATACCCCCGTCAGACCTGGGTGGCGCTCTTAATGCGCTGCTACGGCGATGGAAAATGGTCTCAGAGCGCGCGTCCGCATCGCCATGCCTCGTAAAAGCGTGGTGGAAACGCTAAATATCGTGCTGTGGTCTCGATGATCGCCAATGATAGCCGAATCACGCCAAGGTTCTGCGATCTGGCCTGGAAAACTGTGAGAAATCGACTTCTTTCAAGTTTGTAATTTGTTGGGACATTGTCTGGTGTTGGGTTAACGTTTGCCGGCAACCTTGTGTATTTTCTGGTCGCCGTACGGTCGCAGCAGAGCAGTAAGGACCCCCCCCCCCCGGTCTGACGTTGGCATTAGATTTCGGGCACTTTATTTGCCCAACCAGATGATATATTAATTTAACTTCAGATTGCCCCACCCCCTCCCCTGGCTCGTACGCCTATGGGGGTCCTGACCGGAAGGTCATGGCACACTGAATATTGTTAGGGTGCATCCTCTCATGACCCCCAACTGATCATACGAAATTAGAAAATGTATGAGGATGGCATTAAAGAGTAACATGCGTTGTGATTAGTTCGCAGTGGTGAAACATCATAAATGAAATGAATAAATTGGGGATTAACGTCCTACTTTTCTGCACCATCCGGGATAATGAGGATGGACATACGCCATGCGGTGAGGGAAGTTTTTCCAGGACAGTGGCACTTCGGCCTACTTTTCTGCAAGTTCAAATTGAGGGGTTATTTTACGAGCCGGCTAACGTGCACACGGCAGCTGGATGTTCTTTGTCGAACCCCCTGTTCTGCACCACTGACCTTCCTCGCCCAACACCGGAATCGAACACAGGGCTGCGTAGTAAGCGATCCAGGGCTTCACTCACTGAAATTTTTGCAACGTTCGACATATCCCCCATGGTCCGTATAAACAAGCAAGTGCCACCGATAGGCTTTGGTAAAATGTTTGAATGTGGTACCTTTTTAATCCCATTGAATAAAATCCAACAGATTATCTGGCTTTGTTTTGGTAATCGAATCTTTAATAATGAATTCGAGGACATGTTAGCGTCTAATAAACCATAACTAGGTAAATAAATTCAAAAAAAAAAACCCACTGCATTAAGAAAATATATCTTTTTCTTTGAGAATTGGGATTGTGTTTACGCTACCATTTATTAAAAACTACAGAGAACATATGTATCATTTGTTATTGTAATGAATTCAATGGCGAATAATTTTGATTTGAATTCCGATCAAACTTCGTCAGTCATTAGATTGCGCTTTAGTTATGTGCTCTCTGCTCATTGTCTGATCTTGTAGGCGAATTTAAATAGCTGCCATGATAAGGGATGGCAGATACAAATAATAATACTTCATGTATTCCAAGCTTACAAAACATCCCAGGTGTATCATTCTGGTCGCAAGAAGGTCATATTTAGTCTCTAGCAACTCACAAGATCTAATTTAACACATGACTGATTCTAAAAGTAAGTTAGTAAATCCTTTTCAGCATTCAATAGCAATTTTAAAATTATTCCAAAATATATCCATCTCCCCTGAATCATTGTCCTCATTAGGATATTCAATATAAGTATGTGATTTAATCTGATACATGACAGTTGATGGTATTTTATCATATTTAATATGTTTATAAAATAATATTAATAACATATCTCGTCCAGTATGTTGACTTTCCATATCTGCCATATTCATTTCATACAGACACCAGTAACTTTTAATAAAATCTGGACTCATAACAAGAATTGTCTTTCTACTCGTCTTAACAGCAGTAACTATACCTTCAGCAATCGGTAATGAAGGAAGAAAATCTCTCTTATGAAGGCAAAGTCTTAATCCCGCTTCTTCTTCAACTTTAAATCTCATTGTTTGATCTACAAATAATCTGGCATCTTCCGAATAGGAAATAAAGGCATCATATTCAAAACTATCATTTCCATGGTGTATTTTGTTAGAACGTGTGGCTGAATAATATAAATAACGTAATTTCCATCTAAATCTGTAGGTAATCGCACCAATAATTATAACAACGAGAATTAGTGTTCCACCAAGCGCACCAAAGAAAAACCATAACGCCTTTCTACACTTTATGTTTAATTCATTGAAAATAAGCTCCTTATTTGCGAAAGTCACTATTGTCCCGTTCGTAAAATCACATTCATAGTTATCAAAATTGTTAAAATTAAGACGTCTAGTGGAAAACATCCAGTGGAGAAAGGAGAGACTGTCACAAATACAATAAAATCTGTTGTCGGAAAAATCAACAGTCAAATTACCAGAAATTTCTAACTCACGTTGCATACTTTCATTGATAAATCTTAATCCATTTGTTTCAAAGTCGATGTAAGTCAAATTAACCATATGCCTAATTGTAAAAATGAAATCTTTTGATAACAGATTGTTATGACTAAGGTCTATTTTTTCACATTTAATCAATCCCCGAAACAGACTTTTGGGTATGAACCAAATCTTATTATACGACAAATTAATTTCTTTTAGTTGGGTTAGTTTGCTAAATAATGTACCATTCGTATCCGAACAAATTGCTGATTCTAAATAGTTATTGTGTAAATCAAGGGTTTCAAGTGACTTAAATTCGCAAAAGAATCCAGGATATATTTCATTGCAGAAGTTATTTGACAGATTCAAATGCTTAATTGTTTCTACGCCGGAAATAGGGCCTTCCCATGACCAAAAATTATTCTTGGCCAGTGAAACATTTTCAAGGGAATTGTTGCCAAAGCTCAGATGTGAAAGATGGAAAGGAAGCTGCAAATTATCAAGGTACAGAGTCGTTAAATTTGGCGGGATGTGAATCAACATTTGTGAATCAGGTTGGGTTCGTATCTCTGCTTTCAATTTTAATCCATTATTACATTGCATCGGGTCCTTACTTTGCTCTATAAAATCGTTCCTGGAATTGATATATAAATCTTGAGGATTTCTATCATATTCCATTTGGTAACTCAAATCTAATTCCTGGATTCCATAGACATGCAATGGGTCTGAATGAAGATAAGTCCCAAGTGTAAACCTATTACTTTTAGCGGACACATAATTCAAAGTATTGGGTAAAAGCAATATGGCGCCTTGTTGAAATATATCAATTCTGTTGCCGTCTACATAAATCCTTTCTATAACCGTGTACTTAAAATATTTAAGCGTGGTTTTGTTTATACAGACACAAATGCGATACTCGTTTACAATTCTATTAATTTTCAGAACCTTTAGAGTAGAATTAACAAGTCCAAACATTGCCTCTCCGAGAGTTTCAAATCCAAGAGCTGTATTATCGCTCAAATCCAATTCCTTTAATGTGTGCCGTAGAAAATAAAATGCACCAATTTCAATGCTCGTAATGTTATTTAATGACAGATCCAATAACGTCATATTGTAGAACCTTGAAAAGGTATCATTGTGGATATGGTTCAGTGTATTATTTTTCATGATCAGGTGATTCGTCGAGTTAAGAATCTCGTGAGGTATTCGTACACATCCTAAATCTGAACAGTTGGCTACTAAATAACCAGATTCTTCTTTGCAAGAACATTTTTTAAGACAATCAAAACTGGGCACACCATTATACACAGGTAAGAATAAAAACACCAAGGAGAATAGAAATGTGCACATCTGAAATTAAAGAAATAATTTGTCTTTTAAAAAATGGATTGCTGTACAAAAAGTAATTACTCTTAACATGCGTGTCTAAAATGTATAAATAAGGTAAGGTTCTTGTTAAAATATTTTACGGGGACAGTTGCCCATGGTGGCTCTAAAATCATTGTCAACAATTAACTCCTGTAAATAATTCCGAATTTCGATAGGGTTGTCCCCAATGAACAATCACACGGACTGGGCTTAATAGTCGATCATAGGGTTAACTCTCAATATATCAATTTCTCTTAAATGTACAAATTTTATTGGAGAATTTTGTTGATATATTGATTGCACGATTATTTTTGTCCGATTTTATAGACCGGTTTAGCGGGAGCGAAGGTGACAGGATTTTCAACCCGAGAATTCGGCCTATATGACAAATATGTCTAGATTTGGGGCGATGCAGCTTCTTCATAACACGTAAGTACCTAATTCTCGTATTAGAAAGAAACATTTCTGTGTTAAATTCGTGTATTTTCAAACATTGTCTATCATTCAAAAAAGGTGTTAGAAGAATAACCTTTAAGACTCTTGGTATAAACAGTAATATTAACAACTGTATGCGAAATAAACTCTCTCTTTTTCAAGTTAACAAAACAATTTTTGTACTACGTCTGAATGGAATGAAGTTTAATATCTCGTCAACACAATATTTTTGTCATTTTGACTCTAACATACCGTTATTATATAATTTTCTATGGACACGTGGTGCAAAGCGTTTCCGCGTACTCTTAATCGAATTTCAACTGTAAAAGTTTCTTTGAAGTGCACAGTTGAACATCGTTTTTATCATTCCATCCGAACGACTAGGTATTCTTACAGGCGCTAACCATGGCAAATGGGGATCGGGTTCAAAATATTGCGAGGCTCTTCACGACCAACACCGGGATTCAAACCCGGATTATTTCAGTTCCTGACTACCTCCCTGCTACCACACAAACTATACGTTTGAAGCAAGACATGCCCTTTGCCCCTAAGAACATGGGCCCGTGTTCACAAAGCATTCTCAGACTTAAGTTAAGAATTTACTCAAAATTGTTTGTCTTATTTTAACTAAAAAATAGTCTTTTATACAACTTCTGTTGTTTTAATGTATCAGGTACATCAATAAGAAACTATGTGCAAAGTTGTGTGTTTCTGGATCAAAAATATTTCTCATAAACAGTGATTGAAAGTTGAGTAAATTCTTAAGTCTGAGAATGCTTTGTTATCTCGGGTCCAGGTTTTAAGGGACAGCAATTCAAACTTATTCAAATATGTGTACACGATCTCTCAGTACTTACTTTGAATATGTTGACTGTTCCAGTGTTAGGATAATCATAAAACCAGTGAAAGTGACCGAACACTTAATTTTATTTCCTTAAACAGTATTATTAATTTCCTTAATATTAATTTAATCTGCCCAGTTCAACCCAGTAAGGAAAATTCTCTGCTATGATTAGTCAAAACAATTATTTCATAAAATTTTAATCAAATTTTCCGTATGTCTTTATATCCATATATTAATTTGAGTGACATTGGTCAATTGTTCACGTAGTTATCGCCCTTGACTTTGCTAAAATGTACATATTTACAAGCATTTTTATCGACTTGCCAAATTAACATGGAGATGTCATGTGACTTCAAAGTACTTTTGCGAGTGATAAAAAGCGTCGATTAGCTGTAAATAACAAATCGCACTTGGAAGTGATTTGGTGGTTCAGCGTAATAGTTTCGGAAATCGGTGTCGATAAATTCGCTGATTAGTGTAATCAATTTAAATTAGATAGCCATTAAAGATGAAAATTTGATTGAATACAAATTACTTTGTCTAATCGGTGGTCAAAAAAACGTATTACGTTTTCTGTGCAATATTAATCCCCCAAAGTAGTCATATTTGCTGTGTCGACCGCTTGTTATATGATGGGGTGGGGTGTGTGTGTGTGGGGGGGGGGGGGGGATTGCTCGGTATATGTCGTACAGGTATACGTTTGCTTTCTGAATGAGAAACGTAAGAGGATTGGCTATTAATGTTGACTTTTTAAACATCAAAGTACTTATATCTAAACGCTTAATTTTGTAATTTTCATCACAGGACTACGACAGTGTGCCGATACCCAGTCTTTAGCAGGTTTTCGGGAAAGAAGTTTTAATTTATCATTCCGATCCAAGATATGCGGACTAATGAGTTTGGGTGTTGTCATGTCTTTTAGAAAACGATTTTCTACACTACATTATATATATCTACGTCTGTGTTGTCTTCGTGGGGTTGTACGTGGATCGGTGGACGATTTCTCTGCGCGATTGGGAGAGCTTCGTTTTCATTGGGCATTTACAGCAAGACAACAGTTCTCTTGAAACGTCTCTTCCTAAGCGGCGTTAGGTTATTCTTATTTTTAGAATCAAAAGACACACTGGTATTCGCGGACAATACCTCGATGACGACGAATAGTTTATGAAATGGATTAAAATTGCCGTTATACGGAGAAACTAATTATACATGCTGATAATACAAAGTATATACATGTATAAAGGGGATGGAGCGAGATATAGCCAAAGCCAGGGTCAAGTTTGTCTGTTTCAATGGAAGTGTCTGTTTCGTATGTTGTGAACAAGCCTTGGTTGAAGAGAGATCTGTTTGAAAAGATTTGAATGATTTACAACCTTTGACTTTAAAATATATTCTAAAATCTATTTTTTACTCCGACCTTTGAAATGCACCATTTGTTGATGAACGTGTGCATGGTGAAGCCTATTTGGGCTCTTGTTGAAAATGTGCTTTAGTGTACAAAAGTACAAAACTGCATAATGCAGACAGATTATACCAGCTGGCAGAATAGTATACGTTGAGAACTGGGAAAACAGTTTGAATATTAGAAAATATTTTCATTAAGGGGAGAGAACTACTCAAATGTTGAAGTACAGACTTCACCAAATATGCGAAAGTTATGTTTAGTCTTCCTTTCCCCGCTTTTGCATGGCGATTTCTGTTGACTTTTTGGTGTAGAATCGAAGAAAAGGGTTTGAAAATACACTTTCTGCCAGGTTTTGGTGAATATTCATGATTTTGAGGCGGAAGGATACAAGAGTTGAGAGGTTGATCAGGTTGAAATGTGGGGCGGAAAATTGCGAGTTTAGCAGGCTTTACTTCCAGTTTGTGTGTCTCAAGTTTTCCATGGTGAACTTCATACGTGCTTTTGAGCAAGAAGTTGACACATGTTGCTCCATCTGTGGTAGAAAGCGTTCTACCCAACGAAAATGTGGGAAAAAGTTAGAACTGGTCAAAGAGACGAGACGTGACCTTGACGAACCCCTGAGAGTTGACCTTTCTAGATCTAGCCGTGGCATAGGCGCTAAGGCTCGATGAATGTTAAAGGCTTGGGGTGTGAAATGAAATGGGGCTTAACGTCCTACTGTTCTGCTCCGAACTGCGCTAATGAAGACGGGCATACGCCATACAGTGTGCTATGGGGGACATTTTGCCCGGACAGCGGCACTATGGCCTACACTTATATCGAATTCCAACTGTCAAGGGATCTTTTACGTGCACGCCAATGTGTACACGGGACCTCGGTTTTACGTCCCAACCGAACGACTAGACAGCTGTCCCTGTCAAGCCCTCCGTCCTCCATCACTGACAATGGGGAACCACACCGGAAAATCTGGATAAACTTTCTCGGCCAATGCTAGCGAGTCATTGTCTTACCCAACTAGCCACCGTTATTCCCGTTGGGGGGTGGGAGGAGGCAGAACCTGAAATTCCCGAGAGAATTTTGGGTAACAGACGGCGAGAGACGAAGGAGCTGAGCTTACCGTGTAGGCCACCCCCACAGAAAATTTGGATAATTTTACGGTCACAAATGGGTTTTCCTGGCACGAATTGTGATAGTGGGGTTTAGGGGTGGGACAGAAACTGAAATTCACGAAAAAATTTCGGGTAACACACCGCGGTGCTGGTCGTCTTCGAGAGGCGAAGGAGTGGATCTTACCGTGTAGGCCACACCCCCGCCTCCATCCCAGACGGAAAATTTGGAAAACTTGACGGCCACAAACGGATTTTCCTGGCGCATATTATGATTGTCGGAACATAGCATTCACACGACTATATTAACATCTTCTATTTCTATCGTAACACCTCACTGGTTTGTACGAATAATATGACGAGTCAGACCTTTTATGATCCTTAAAGGCTCAATACCACTCTTTTTGTAACTGAATAATATGTCCCAATCTTTATTCTGATCAACAAATTGTACTATTTTACAATATTCCAATTAATTGATGATATAAATTTCATCTTAACACACCTAATTTAAAAATTCAACTAAATGATTTGAAAAGCCTGACGTAAAGCTTTTCAAATGTGACTTGGATTTAAAAATATTTTTGAACCCTCTGAACAAGTAAAATAGGATGTAATGGATAATTTACACAATAGGTAGGACACTAACATATCTAGTACTTCGAATAAGGCTATTTTTTATTTTATGGAGCTGTCAAGCCAGCAAGAGTGTTATTGTCCCTTTAACGCCGTTACAGGTGTAAAATTAAAATATATATTTGAGTAACGCCCTTGTTAAATAAGTATGCCAATAATAATAATAATATTATAAAGAAGACGGTGTGTGAAAATATAGACGTATGTATAACATCAACGATATGGTTGGTGTAATGTATTATTTATACATTTGGATCATGACCTGACTTTTAAATTTTTGAGTTCCCAGAAGGCTTTTATGAAGAGTGTTTCACAGGTGTCCTTTTACCAACATAGATCTAGAAATATCAGATAAATTTATACATAATATGATCCCGTGGTGCATAGACGTAAGGGCTCGATGAATGTGCGGGGGTGCGGGGGGGGGAGAAGAACCTGCTATGCCGGTCGTCTGCGAGAGGCGAAAAGCGGAACGTACCGTGTAGGAATTGAGACAGAAAATTAATTCTTTGCTACATAATGAAGAATGGTCTGATGAGAATAAAACCAGTTTCCAACTCAAACACATTAAACTGTCTGACCAAGAAACAACAATTATCAACGCCCAAATTTCACGATAAATTTCTTTTGTTTTTTATTAAATCTAATAAATAGATTCATTGTGTGTTATTGATTTTCTTGTATGTAATTTTGAAATATGCATGCATGGGGGTTAATATCGTAGTATTGACCTCTGATGATGTCTCAAGCGGTCAATATCCAAAATAACGATCACGGAGATCAAAGAGATAATTACATCGTGGTTTGTATTGACAAATAATAATCGATGCCTCCAGACAAAATGCTTTAATCCATAATCAAACTATCGAATCGCCCGCTTTAGTTACAGGTAGTCAAGCGGCCACGAAATATCATGACGATTTTAATAAATTAAGAAATAAAAATGGGGTTTAACGTCCTACTGTTCTGCACCGACTAGGCAAGTGAAGACGATAATACGCCATACAGTGGGGTAAATTTAATCGGACAGTGGCACTAGCTAAGGCCTACTCTAATATCGAATTCTAACTTTCAAGGGTTCTTTTACGTGCACGCCAATGTGTACATGCGACCTTGGTTTTTCTTCCCACCCGAACGACTATACATCTTTCCTTGTCATGCCCCCCGCCCTGCAAGGTGAAACCACGCCGAAGTATCCGAAGGAACTTTCTCGGCCAACACCGGGGCAAACCCTAGAGCTCCAGGCTAGCGAACGAGCGTCTTACTCACTGAACCATCGCGACTCCTTTTATCAATATGGAAAATTTCGATATGATTAAAATGACTCATGTGTATCAAACCAGCAATTTGTATTATAATGATGTAAATCCGTGAGAACATCGAAACTGATGACTAATACAAAAACATCCTTGTTGAAACCAAGGGTTTACAAATACTTTCAGTTTCACTTGTCTGACTAATTATCATAAGATTTCAATTAGAATTATCACTACAGAAAACAGTATGCAAATAAATATATTTCTATTCTTGATATTTTATCTAAATCGCCGCCAATAGTATAAGAGGTTCATCTATATTAATGGATACCCAAACAAGATACAGCCGCAAAAAGGGCCGCAAAGACTCCGTCTATCCGACCTCTTACGACATTTGGTGGCCCATTCACCATGTTCAACCATCCCGTTTATTGACGGCACGGATATGAAATGGGGTTTAAAGTTCTGCACCAACCGTGCAACAGTATAGACGGACATACCCGGTAGTGTGTCACGAGGGAAATGGTGCCCGGAAAACTGCATTTCCGCCAAAGCGTCTTCAAAAAGCGACTGGTAAAAGCTCCTTTGCGTGAACACCAATCAGTACACGTGTGGGTCTCGGTTTTACTTCCAATTCGTAAGACTAGATGCTTTCCTTACCAGGATCCCGGTAATGAACCACCGACAACGTGAAACGAGACTGGAAAACCCAGTAAACCTTTCGGTCAACAGAGGGATCGAATCCGTGATCTCTAGGTAAGTAAGCCAGCGCCCTACACACTGAACCGCCGTGGCTCCACGAGTTTTACTAGCAACTCATTGATAAATGACGTCGATTACATTACATGCATATTCGTATTTTTGCGCTTCAATGTACGTTTAATTTAATAGTCACTTAAAAAAGCAGGAACAAATTGTGGATTGTATACTTCAACAAGTGGGGAATAGAAATCACGCCACTTGATTCAATGGCAGACCTAGTGATATAGGTCATGAATTTCCAACGATGGTTGAGTACATCTTGCGGAAACAAGTTCTTTTACCGGGGGTAAACGAATGAGTCATAGACTGATACTCGACGTATACCTAAACTATGACCATTTTGGGAGTACTGGAACTGTGACGTCGATGAACGAGTTGATTTCTAGGTCTCCTAATAAATTCAAATATTATGTCCAGTCGAGAGAGACCACCTATGTGCATGGTGGAAACTTCTTCTCCCAATTACAATATTTATCTGCATGTATAAAAAACACTAAACATAACATATTTTAAACCATGGTGTAGGTAATTACCCCAATAACATCAATAAAAAGTCAACAGTATTATAAATATTCGTTCCTTGGTTGTCTATGGCTAACCCTGCTTTAAATTCTAAGGTTGCAGTGAGAACAACAAAACAAGGGAAGTCTTTAAAAAATGCTTTATGTATAGCCAGCATGCGCATGCAAATTTCTACATATTAAAATAGACCAAGTTTATTATAGATAAATACAAAAAATTAGCAAATAGTAAAAATAACCACTCCCCCTAAAAAAAAATCTAATTACGATATGAATTTCGTGCAAGCAACAAATACAGCAATACAAACTGGCAGCAATGTAAACTCTAGGGATGAAAAGTTGTAACTGGTAATGTTAATTAATCCTGTCTCGTGCACGGCACCTAAACCACTCATTGATTAATTGATCATGAGATCGACACTGTGACAAATGACAATAATGGTTGGCTGTACATTAAGGAGATTTAATTGCCTTAGAAAATTTTTCCCAAAATGTAACCATCGCGTCTGAATCATTGTTCTCATCAGGATATTCAATATAAGTATGTGATTTAATCTGATACATGACAGTTGATGGTATTTTATCATATTCAATATGTTTATATAATAATATTAATAACACATCTCGTCCAGTATGTTGACTTTCCATATCTGCCATATTCATTTCATACAGACACCAGTAACTTTTAATAAAATCTGGACTCATAACAAGAACTGTTTTTCTACTCGACTTAACAGCAGTAACTATACCTTCAGCAATTGTTAAGGAAGGGAGAAAATCTCTGTTATGAAGACAAAGTTTTAATCCCGCTTCTTGTTCAACTTTTGATTTCATTGTTTGATCCACAAATAAACTAGCATCATCGGAATAAGAAATAAACGCATCATATTCAAAGTCGTCATCAGTTTGATGTCGAATAGTTTTGGAATTTCTGAAATAATACAAATACCTTAATTTCCATCTAAATCTATAGACAAAAGCCCCAAGAACAAGGCTTAGAATTCCAAGAATACAACAACAAACTGTGATTATCTGACCAGTGATGGAATGACACGTTTTAGACAATTGAGCAAAGATTTGCTCAGATTGGCTTAGATATGTCCTTGTCCCATTTGTGAAATAACATTCGTATTGATCAATATTATAGAACTGTACATAAGGCGTAGATACAAGCCACTGTAGGAAGTAATAATTGTCACAATCACACATCAGTGGATTGTCAGTTAAATCAACTGTTAGATTTCCACTCCTTTGCCCTGCCATCTCCAACTGCTTACGAAATGTTGAATGGAACCAATCAATGTGATTATGGGAAAAGTTGACATATTGCAGATTGTTCATAAGTTGAAGGGATATAAAAACCCTATGATCAAGAAGATTGTGGCTCAAGTTTAAAAACTGACATTTTTTTAAACCAATAAATACGTTTTCTGGTAAATATCGTAACTTGTTCTCAGCGAGACTAATGTTAACCAAACTACTAAGTGATTTAAAAATGGAACCATTGCCATCCATAGCAAGTGATAGTTGCAGATTATTGAGAGACATTTCTAACGTTTGTAAAGAAGTGAAGTTATCAAAAAATTCGGGATAAATTTTAAGGCAAAAGTTCTGTGAGAGATTTAAATCGGTAATATTCTCAACACCGGATATTGGTCCTATCCATCGCGATAAAACGTTACCCCTAAGATCAACGTTTTTAAGGGAATTTGGCCCAAGTGCTATTTTTGTTACCTGGTAGGCCAGGTCATAATATTGTATCCGCAGAATTTTCAAATTTGGTGGAAAGACTAACGGTGGTTCCAAGTCCTTTGAATATACTATTTCGGGTTGTTTCGTGTAATCCACAATGGGAACCTGGAAATTGTCTTTGAGGAATGAATAATTACTGTTAGGAATAGGTATTGTTAGGTTTTCCTCCAACATATGTCCACTAAAATCCAATACTTCAAGATTGCTAAGATTACTGACTTCGCTCAAGTAAGGTCCAATAGTAAATCTATTGTTTTTAGCTATAATTGTTTTTAAAGTCGAGGGTAGGAGTGAAAGTGCATGTGGTTCAGCAAACTCTATCCTGTTATCATTGACGTGAATTTCTTCAATCCTCGTTTCTTTAAAATATCCCGCCATGAGCGTGTCAATACAAACACAAACAGCATAATGGCGAACTATACTGTTAGCTTTGATAATGCGTAGAGACGTATTTCGAAGCCCAAAAATTGCTTTTCCAAGTCCACGAAATCCCAAATCCTGGTTATGGTTCAGTATAAGTATGTCTAAATTCCAAAGGCCAGCAAACCCATTCTCGTCGATCCTTTTAATTATACAGTATGATAGATCAAGTAGCCTTAGATCGTAGAATCTTTCAAAGGAATTGTTGCAAATGTGGCTTAAATTGTTTTTCTTCATGATAAGATGATTGGTATTATTAGGGATTGTCATCGGTACTTTCGTCAACCCCAGGTGTATACATTTACTTATTAATGTACCATTGTCGTCATAACAGTCGCAGGGTTTACATGATGGGAAGGCTGTTGCCAAAACAACTGTTATTGTTCCCACCACTATATAAAACAACGCCAACTTGTACATCTACAAAAGATAAGATGGAATTATATGATATAGTAACTTGTGTAATCTTATTGTTTCTGGAAAATACTCTGACTGGTATTATTTTGCACACATATTCATTAAAGATACATTATGGGAGATAAGATAAAGAGATGGCAGTTCTCGCTATAATAGTTAACAACTAGATAGTGTAAAGGTAATTTGTTGGAAATTTCAGTCAAATTGATCCACTATGAGCCGAAAAAGAAGCGGGTGAAATTTTTGCATAGTCTCGGTCATCATTACTAAAATCATTAATATAAACAGCATAGTCTCGATTATCCACTTTTTCTGATTTAATTATCAATAGCCTTTAGCGGCATATAGGAATCTAATCCAGCCAACATCGAAAGCTAGCCTTGACATCGAGAGTTTATTATGGTCTGGATAAGTTAATTAATGTCTAATTGGATAATTAAGATAACATTTCAGGCCTAAAGAAAGACTTGTAATAAGCAGATTTTGCTCTTGCATAATGCATGTTTAAACAACGTTTATTGCAAGACGGGCTAGAAACAAAACGAAAACAGACTGCAAGATATATATCTAAACATTGGTGACAGTCGTTTGTCAGTCTGTTTGTTCGGGGTTGGCGGCTAGTCTTTGGCTGATCCGAGAAAGACATTTGGGGTGTAAGGGCAGCTCGCACTGGGGAGTGACTACCACTTCTGGTTAAGGAATCTGTCGTTCAAATTCCGGCCAGCCGCTAGTGTGTATATAGTTTGTGCTCCCTTGTGTCGAAACTAGATACGGGATTCAATCACAACTTTTAAAGATGTTTCTAGAGTATAACTTAGTAAAGCTAATCGGCGTCTTCTGCTTTCCTTTGTCAGCTACTCGTCATTCTAATTATGGCTAAATTTATAAAATAGCTTGTCTCGAGTGGATACGAAAGCGATTGATAGTACTTATACATTGCATAGCTACAGCTAATAGCTGCTATTAAAAACGATATTAGTTTCCATGTTTTAAAACGAGACTGCAAGGTTTTTTCCCCAACAAAAATATTTTCCTGATATATGGAATGTTTTCCAGTCACTGGTATTGGATTTCGACTGTTAAAGAAGTATATAAAGTGTTAGCTTATACATTATTAATTGCGTTCATCCGTATTTATAACAGGCACTTTACTACAGTTCACGTATATAAAATTTATAACTTACCGTATTATACTTTTTCTGCTCTACAAGATCGCCATGTTAAATGTGATTGTCATAAATAAAGATGGACGCTTTGTCAGATAAATATTTCCGTCATGTGTAACCAGCAGAAACTATTAATGCACAAGGATAATTTAAGATTTTATGATCTATGTTAAAGGAGCTGTACCTCTTTGATATAGGTCAAGTATAGTTTTAATTTTGTGGTGCAGGACAGGGGGGTCTGACAAGGACAGCTGTCTAGTCGTTCAGATGGGACGAAAACCCGAGGTTCCGTGTATATATTGGCGTGCACGTAAAAGATTTCTTGGCAGTTGGAATTCTATATAAGGGTAGGCCATATAGTGCCGCTGCCCGGGCAAAATTTTACTCATAGCACACTGTATGGCGTATGCCCGTCTTCATTAGCCCAGATGGAGTAAAATAGTTTTCATTTTAACGACTAGACTGTCGATAGTGAAACTCAAAATCATATAAAAACTAATAAAATGAGCCAAAGCAGTGACGTCTAGTCACTTTAATAGAAAATCCACGTGTAGCCCTTCTCGTACCACGTTATCGATGCATGTTTTTCAAACTCTGTGAATGTTGATCAGAACTCGCTTGAATATCAACATTATTTGCAGATCGTAGATTGCGGACGGGTTTTTCAAAGTTATTTTGTTCACGTTTTGACATTCAGAGAGAGAGAGAAAGAGTATAACGTCCACTCGACATAAAGTAGTTCATTTCGGGACTAACATGTGGTTCAATTTTATTTCAATAATTCGATTGCGCCTAGGGGTCTTTAGCAGTGGAACCCGGGGAAATCCCACGAGGCTGGACAGGCAACCCTACTCCTTGTCACGTAAAAGCGGAGAATCGAAACCACGACATTGACTCAATGACACACTTTCTGATACAACGCGCACAGCTCTAACTCCGCCCAGAATGATGCAATTAACTGAAAATTTAAACATTCCCTTTTACATTATCTATTTTTGTAGCTATTATAGCGAGAACTGTCAGCTCTTTATCTAAATCTTACATATTACATCTTTAAGGTGACCTATAAATAATGTTTATTCAATGAAATCCTTTAATTATATAAGGGTGTTGAAAGGGATATCATATACAGAGGAAAGATTTCATCTGATATAGTTTTTATTTAAAGATAGTTACTATTATAATCATGGTTGTTTAAGTCTGCTGCGACCATATCTATTTCCCTAACGGTAGATACCCCAAATTCCGACAACAAAATGGAAGAGGACCAATCATCTATAAAATGGTACGAAGTTGGTAAAAATCTGCCTTGTTTAATTGTTTATAGTCAAAGCGTTCAAAGTTCCTTAAAGTCGCTTGTTTTTATCTTTTTGGCCACTGCAGTTCTAATATTTGTCCCCATACATTTTCTGGTTATTTAGTTGGGTGTAAATTATCTTGGACTTCGGTTTGAAGGTTGGTTTTTATAAGAATACGACTCGCTGAATTCAATGAGATTGGGTATCCCCCACCCCTAAAGGTGACGGCGAATTCGCCAGAAAGTCAAATTCAAAATGGGGCCCCTTTTTGAGAAAAAAAATCACAAAGTCCCCTATATGGTTTGATCAGCCTGCCTCCTTTAAACATAAAATAAAAAATTGAAGTATGAAAACATAGTTGCTGCAATATGTCATTGTTGTCCAATAGGAAAATCTTTCTGAAATAACATTCACGTGACATAATTGCCAATGGTTATGATTTATTTATCCTTGACAAAGTTCATGTACCAAATTTTCCTGTTGACATGATTTCGTTTTCCTGTTAACGTGATTGTGTTTTCCTCGAAAAACAACAAGATGCGATCGTGGGAATACCCAGAAACCAAATTCAAATGCTGAATAATTTGTGTGTTTATATGGAAGGAGTAGAAGGCTACAACCGAACAATATATACTTCAACACAGAATTTGTGTAAATAGATTCTAATCCCCTTTGCCATTTTATGAACAGTGTTTGGTCTCTGTTAAAAGAACTTGAACTCTTTAACATATTTCAATTTTAGTTTAATTTTGGTTTCCCGTTTTACTTTGTAATAAATGTTAAAAGACATGAAACGAAATGGGGTTTAACGTCTTACTTGCACCATACAGTGTGCTGTAAGGGTAATATTGCTCGGAAAGTGGCGCTACGGCCTACTGTTCTGTTCCGACTTGGCTAATGAAGATGGGCATACGTCATGCAGTGTGCAAGAGAAAACAAATTTGACCGGACACAGGCGCTACACCCTACTCTTATATCGAATTCCAACGGCAAAGGGATCTGTTACGTGCACGCCAATATTTACACGGTGCCTCGGGTTTTCGTTGCCAGGCCCTATGTCCTGCTCCACTGACAAGGGGGAACCACACCGGAAAATGACGATGAACTTTGTGGGCCAACACCGGACCTCCAGGTCTTACTCACTGAGCCAGCACGGCTCTCTGCACCATAAAAAAGGAGAATCCAAGTTGGGAAATGCTTATAAACTTTCTTGGTCAACACCCCGCTGAAACCCCCTGGTTGGTGGCGGGCCAGCAACATACCGACTGAGTCACCATGAATATTGAGATATAAGAAACACAAGCAGATATTTAATGAATAAAATATAAAATTTATAAAACACAAAATGTAAATTTAACCCAAAATATAATTTCATATTTTATATACAGTATAATAAAGCAGATATTTAATGAAGAAAATTCGCAAAACACAAAATATACATTTAACTAATAGTTTCACATTTTATATACAGTATAATAAGCAGCGAACAAATGCCACACTAACTCTTTTATAATCCACTTTTGTATTTAGAGGATTGGCGATCTATAGACATTGAATCGCCCTTGAAAAATTATCCCAAAATATATCCATCTCCTCTGAATCATCGTCTGTATTAGGATATTCAATATAAGTATGTGATTTGATCTGATACATGACAGTTGATGGTATTTTATCATATTTAATATGTTTATATAATAATATTAATAACACATCTCGTCCAGTATGTTGACTTTCCATATCTGCCATATTCATTTCATACAGACACCAGTAACTTTTAATAAAATCTGGACTCATAACAAGAACTGTCTTTCTACTCGTCTTAACAGCAGTAACTATACCTTCAGCAATCGGCAAGGAAGGAAGAAAATCTCTGTTATGAAGACAAAGTTTCAATCCAGCTTCTTCTTCAACTTTTAATCTCATTGTTTGATCCACAAATAATCTGGCATCTTCCGAATAGGAAATAAAGGCATCAAATTCAAAGACGTCATGATGGAAATTCAACCTTCTGGAACTTTTGGCTGCATAATACAAATATCGTAATTTCCATCTAAATTTGTAGAAAATAGCCAAAAAAACAAAACTTAAAACCAAAATTGTTGCAAATAAACAAGACATTATCTGATCCATTACAGTGTCACATTTTTGGGATAACTTAGTGAAAATTAAATTCGACTGATTGAAATATATCGGGGTTCCGTCTGTGAAAATACACAAATACTGTTCAAAGTATTGAAACTGCACATAAGGTGTTGAATTAAGCCATTTGAGGAAAGCTAAATTTCTGCAATTACAAAATAACGGGTTTTCTCTGAGGTCAATAGTTAAATTTCCACTTTTCTTGCCAACTTTTTCTAGTTCGTTCATAAACTCAGAGCTAAACCATTGAATATGATTGAAAGTAAAATTTATATATTTGAGATGGTTCATGTGTTGAAGAGATATGAATAGATTTTCGCTACGTATTAAATTTCTACTCAGATCCAATACCTGACAGTTTTTTAAACCCTTGAATATTTTTTCGGGTAAGTATATTAAATAGGTTTCTTTCAGATTCAGATATTGTAATTTATTCAGTGTTTCAAATACCGAACCGTTCTTGTCACCAGCTATCACGATTTGTAAACTATTTTGAGCCATATCTAATGTTTCCAAGGAAGAAAAATTCGAAAAGAAATCCGAATTTATCCAGAAACAAAGGTTTTGAGAAAGATCTAAATGGCGAATATTTTCGACATTTAATACGGGTCCCTCCCACTTTGACAAGATATTGCCCCTCAAGGAGACATTTTGAATAGAGTTTGTACCAAGATCAATTTTAGTAACATAGTAGGCGAGAGCTGAAAATTTCATATTTAAAATTTTCAGGTTAGGAGGAAAGCGTAGCTTTTCTTTATCAGAGTTGGTAGATGTATCACATGCCTCCTGAATAAGCACCCAATCCATTAAAGGTATAGTACTATAAATGTTTGGTTCCTGCAAATTGCCACTCAAATCCAATTCTTCTAAGTTTATAAGATGAGCAACATCTGCCAAATACTGTCCTATGGTAAATCTATTGTTTTTTGCTGAAACCTTTTCAATTGATTGTGGTAAATATTGAAGTGCACCGGGTTCAAAAATTTCGATTCGGTTATTGTTAACATGAATCTCTTTAAGCCTGGTTTGGTTAAGATGTTGGAGCATTTCTTTAGAAATGCAAACACATACGGCATAAGGATGAACTAAACTGTTTGCTATAAGAACTCGGAGAGATGTCAGTCCATTCATTGCGATACCCAATGAGTAAAATCCTAACTCCGTGTTCTCACTAATGTCTAATGTGTCTAATAATTTTAAATTAATTAATGAAGTGCTTCCAATACTCGATATCTGACAAGACGAGATGTTGAGATATGTTAAGTTGTAAAATCTGGTAAAGTTATCTATAATGTTGTATAAACTGTTATTCGCCATGATTAAATGATTGGTCCAATCGGGTATATCTGAAGAAATATTTGTTAAACCTCTGCTGGAACAGTTAGCTATGAAGACACCATTTTCTTCCCGACAATCACACGGTCCACAACGATGTCCAGAAATACCATGTACCCCAAGATGCAACACGGTTATAATTAATACAAATGATTTCAAGCCCATCTGAAAATAAAATCAAATTAAATTTCAATGTATTGATATAGTTAATGAATTTCTATATCGTGCTTAACAAAACGCCATTATCAATTTCAGCAAGATTAATTTTTACCTCGTATTCAAAAATCTTAGCCCAAAATGGATCTTTACCTATAAGGATCAATTAACAGCTGACGACCAGTGAAGATAAGGGGGTGGGGGTAACCCCGAAAAGGAAGGTGCATACCGATAGAATAGACTCTATCGCGTTCACAGGATTTTGGGTAAAGGGGGGTAACACTGAAAGGGAAGGCTGAATATAGAGAGGGTTCTTCATCTCATGACCCCGATACTTCACACCAAATTTGGAAAAAATATAGATTGGAATCGACCTCTCGTGTCCCAAATGCTGCAGGCCATTCTTTGGGGGAATAAAAATGCGTTACAAACTGTAGCTTCTGTCCGTTCAAAAGGTTTTCGTCAAAATGAGTGGGGTTGGGTAATTCTGGAACGGACGGGCGCGGAACGCCGAATATTGAAAGACTTCGTCATGAACCTCACGCTGAATTGGAAAATCATTCTGATAAACTGTCAGGCCCAAAGGCAGGGTTAGGACCAAAAACCCCTATCCCCACCCCACTGACAGACGAGGTATATTTTACCACCTCCCCCAATTAGCTTGGAGATGCCGACTGCGAGAAAAATATATCATCATTTGGATAGCATATTTAGAACACATAAGTGCGAAAAAGATTATTTTTCAATCGATTATAGATCGTTTGACAAATCCACGAGCCAGAAGCATGCTACAAACACCACAACAAACAAATAAAATGGGATTTAGCATCCTATCGCTCTGCACCGACTGGGCTAATGAACAAACTAACAAACTGCCATTTGTATTATTTTGAAATATGACTACAGTTGTTTTTAGATGTTTTTAAATATATTTTTGATTCATGGTCCCCTATTATCTGAAAGTGTAGGAAAAAGTATTTGTGGTATCTAATTTTGATAAATATTATATAAAATAATCTTTCGTTTTGTCAGATATTTATTTTACCCATAAACACGACTTACCGTGAATATCAGCAGGAAATAGATCCTTTCATACAGTTGATTTGAGGTCGGTGTAATTACAGCTTGCTTGTTGTTACGCTTTGTGAAGGTTTGAAATATTTCCTTTGCATATAAATTTGTTTATAAAAGGGAAATAGTACGTCCTGACGTAAGATGAATGCACTTACACCTTACAATAATTTAAATTTAAAGACCGTTTCAACTCGCCATGTTGACAATGTTGAATTCATCATTTTAATGCGATGGCTCAATCAATAGCGTTTTATGTTGAGTTTAAGCCGAACCCTGCAGCAGATCACACATTAAAGTGATGCAAATAGTACATTAAAGGGCGTATAGCTCCATTCGTTGGAACCTTAAAATATACAAAAAGGGTTTTAAAAGCACATATTAATGTAATATGAATATAGAGTGATTTTCATTTTATTGTTATTTCTAATCAACGGAATTCGGTTACTTAAACAGTCCAAATTGAACGGCAGGTATTTGCGCTTGCATAATTCATTCTACACGTTATTTATTTTTTAATTTATGAATATTGGCCAATTTTAATTACTTCTGCAATTGCAATATCATGTGTGATAGCGCCTGAAGCCAAAGAGTACACGTAATCGTGTATTGAATTTAAAATGTACTCTTAAATGTTGGATGTGAGGATCCCATATTTGAACGGTGAAATAACAACATTAAAGGGCTAAATCGCTAATATTTGGGACCTAGAAACTGACACAAATGGGTCGCAAGGTATATAATAATGTAATATGAATGTATATAAACTGATATACATTCAATCATTTCCGATTTTACTCTAATTTCAAATCAGTTATGTTCGACGAAATACGCCAGAAATCTCAATCGAATGGCAATCTCTAGCATCTGGTTAATCCACTCTACACCGATAGTATTTATTGCGCATGCTCTCTAGATAAGAATATGCCATCACTGTTTAACATGACTTGTAGAATATGTCTAGCCTCGTTCTTCGAGTCCGTTGTTACAAATGGCATTGAAACGCATTATGATACACGATTCGTGTAACACTGGTAAAATGTTTATTTTGTCTTAAATATTGGATTTTAGAAGCCCATCTTTTCCCGCTAAGACTTTGAGTTAGAGACTTGGCTACTTTAATATTGATTGAAATAGACCAATATTGAATTCTAATTCGTGTTTCAAACATTATAGATAATATTGGATTAGAGGTTCAGCTTCTTTAAGTCTCAGACTAAAACATTTTGTTGTTAAAGCGGCGCATACACGATCAACTATATTTTCAACTGTATTGTCAATATTTTATATTGTCAATTACATTGATCGCGTTTGATGATATTGAGGCAATCAAAATATTTAGATTTTTTATTATGGATCGGCAACACTTGCACAATTGTGATAGATAGGCGCTGCGTCGGAGAAATTGCATCGCGCATTTGTCATTTCCGGAGATGAAATGATCCCGGGTTTTTTTCACTACTATTGTCAATAATATTGATATCGTGCATGGGCACCCAAAATCGGTCAGTTATATTGAGCAATATAATTGATCGTGTATGGGTCGCTGAATATGAATGGTACAAAGGGTAGAGGAATGATCATTTAATACATATCTTTTTTGGGGGGTCTTACTTTATTCGGGTCAAAACATGTGTCGAATGCGTATACGGGCTATAAATTATAAGGAAAACACAACGTTGCATCTGTGTACATTAAACAATAGATAGTAAAAACATCCTGTTACTAACTTTGGCAGTCACGTTATGTGATATTTAGGAAATATATTGCATACAATATGCAATACAATAGGCAAAAATTGACAATAAAGAACTCATAACGCGTGTGCATTACAACATATTGAAATTGTCGCCCTTTAAATTGTTCCTATGGCGATGCTCCATTATCAGCCCGGAACGTCCTGAATTGACAGAATTGCAATCGAGTTACGCGGAATTCAGTACTGTCACAGTTCCGTCATTTCCGACAAGGGAGGGTGTGTGAGTAGAATCGTGATGTAATTAAGCTAAACGCATCTATTTCAGCTGTCCTGGTTGGTTGAGCAAAATTACTTATGCACTCTACGCATTTCAGATTTTTATTTTAAATGGCGAGTAATTGAAATAAGTCTTTTGATCGGTGTAAACAATCGAAAGAAAAAAAACAGAACTAAATAGCGGTACAATGTTAATTCGACTTCCTAGACACGGGTTGCGTTGGTTACTGTTGATGATTTAAAAATGTCACATGAACCAGTTGTCTATGTTCGATACGCCGTATTACACACAGTGGACCTGAATCACGCCTGCTTGACAAACTGTTAATACCATTAAATTTTTCTCCCTTACCTGCTGCCTCTTCTACTTTCATTGTCGAGACATAGGCGTACGAGCTGGAGGTGGGAGTGCAGGCTCCACGCAGTGGGGCAAAACAATTTTTGTCTGGCGATCATCAAATTTTTGGGGCACTGGTTAAATGATGAAAACAAATTTCAATGGATATAAAAGGAATAATGTGAAAATTATTCCATCCCTCAAAATGTAGTGCGCGAAATCCAGGAGCCTTCCTGACTATTGTCGACGAGGAGTGAGTGGGGATGTGGGAGGGGGCGGAGGGGGTTCTCTCCATTCAGACTCGAAAACTTTTAAAAGATACCTGGTCTATAACGTCATGTTGTCGTATATTTGCTAAAACAGAGAAACTGAGATTTAGCACAACATTCGACATACCAAATGATGTAATAATAATCATATGTACACAATTTTAAGCATGCAGGCAACAATAACCGTGACCATCATACGCCTAAATATCAAAAGAAGAAAACCTTTTCATCACATAAACTATTCGTTATTTTTTTTTTCAATAGCCCAAATCATGTTGAACTGGATTCAAACGGATATCCTGACGATGACGAGAGCCAAAAGCGGAATGAGGTCGTGTCGGAGCCCAACGGCGCGAAGGCTGGGGCAGGTGGCTTATAGTTTTTAATTCACCAATTTTGCCAAAAATGTGGACTGACAGAACTCGATACTGACAGGTACCCACATTCAGAAAAGTCTAAGCGAACAGTCCCACACAATAGACAAGGCTCAATAAATGATGGTTCATTTTTTTTTATCCAATTCCACTGAACCAACATGTATTCAAAATGATCATCGATCAGTGATGTAGTTTTACCATTTTCAATGGTGGTCACTTTTATATTTCAATCAAAGTGGAAATGGGTCGTTCATTTTTTATGCTTAAAGGATGGGATGGGGGTTGGTTGGGGATATTCGCGGCTGATCGAATGTTTTCCTATATCAGTTGATCTGTTACGATATTGATAACGAGTAGATTGAAAGGTCTGTATTACAGGGGTGGGTTCTAAGAAATGGAAACGGGCTAGAAAATCCCACTGGAAACTATCTCTTTACCGTTTAATCAAAGGCCATTTCATAACAGACCTATAAAAATCTTCGTTGGTCCGCACCATTAGTTCACGATGTGCAGGCGATTTTTGACCTGAAGCACTGGGTGATCAAGTGGGTATTTTATGCTAATCCTTATAAAAATACACCTGTATGCATATCCAATCGTCCTAGAGTGGACAGAGGGATGAGGTGTTTGTTGCTTGTACATTAGACATACGACTTAAATATTTCAAATCCCTGCGGGCACTTCGAAAGTTGTTCTAGCAATGTAATATTTGCATCATGGACATATCTATATAATGGACATATCTATAAAAGACAATAGGGTCTCAAAGTGACATAGAAGGAAGAAACGCCACCATGATATTGTTTTGGTGAGATCTTAAATCTTCGTTTCTGATATGATAGTAAAAAATAATGCAACACTTTTATGAAAGAGAATACATGAAATGAATTTTAATCAATATTGTTTCTACAATAACTTTGTGTATCGGTATAAAGCACAACAAATTGAGCTGTTGGTTAGCGAAATATAATAGCGAATATAATATTACTAATATTAGCGAAGAAATAATTACACTATGCGATTGCCAGAAATATTGTAATGTGAAGAATGATTCGTGAAACACTGTTCACGTTTTTTGATCTGAAACAAGACTCTCTACACACACATCATGAATAAAACCCCAAAAAAAGCGCTACAGATGTTAGTATACTACATACATAAATTTTACAAATAATGAAACAAATACCCTTATAAGGCCTGCTCTGTTCAATAAGCAATGTCATCTTTTTGCTACACATCTTCTGTTCAATATGCAATTTTATAACTTTATGTATTGTTACTTGCAATTTCTCTACATATCAAATTTCCTGGAATTGTGTGACTATTCATAAGAAATGATTATGAGTTCTAGATCACGTATTTATAAGATTTTACTGTTCGTTTTTGACCAAGTATAAGCAGGAAAGCCAAAGGAAATTTGTAGTGACATATCAATTAATTTTCAAGTTATTGTCCTTGTTATCGAAACCTGTCATTATCTTTTGGTGAGATTTATAGATTTTTTTTTAATTTAAGTAGATGGGACAACCTTTATGGTCGGTGCGTTTTTATTATGATTTAATTGCCTTAGAAAAATTATCCCAAAATGTAACCATCGCGTCTGAATCATTGTCCTCATCAGGATATTCAATATAAGTATGTGATTTAATCTGATACATGACAGTTGGTGGTATTTTATCATATTTAATATGTTTATATAATAATATTAATAACACATCTCGTCCAGTATGTTGACTTTCCATATCTGCCATATTCATTTCATACAGACACCAGTAACTTTTAATAAAATCTGGACTCATAACAAGAATTGTTTTTCTACTCGACTTAACAGCAGTAATTATACCTTCAGCAATTGGTAATGAAGGAAGAAAATCTCTGTTATGAAGACAAAGTTTTAATCCAGCTTCTTCTTCAACTTTTAATCTCATTGTTTGATCTACAAATAATCTGGCATCTTCCGAATAGGAAATAAAGGCATCAAATTCAAAACTGTCATCACTTCCAGGTAATTGTCCTGTCTTTGCAGAACTTCTGGCTGCATAATATAAATAACGTAATTTCCACCTACATCTATAGGCGATTGACCCAATAATAAAACTAACGATTAAAATGACAGAAGAGCAAGCCGTGAATATTTCACTAAAATGACTATCGCAAAACCTTGAAAGGTCCCCCAAAATCTGTTCAGGTTGGTTGAGATATACCCTTGTACCGTTTGAATAATCACATGCATATTGGTGTATATTGTTAAACTGAACATACTGTGGGTGTAATAACCAACGTAGAAACTGAAGATTATCACATGTACAAGCTAAAGGGTTATTTGAAAGATCAATTGTCAAACTACCACTTCTCTTACCAGCTTCCTCGAGTTCCTTTCTAAATGTAGAAACCAACCACCCAAAAGTATTGTTGGAAAAGTCTATATAATGTAGATCATTCATAATTCTCAAATCTAAAATCATATCACGGATAATATTCCGACTCAGGTTTAGATGCTGTAAACTTGATAAGCCTGTAAATATTTTACTTGGCAACCATATTAAATTATTTTTGATTAAATTTAGATGAGTTAAATTATTTAGTGGTCTAAAAATAGATCCATTTTTATCATTATACAGCACCCATTGTAAGTTATTATACGACATATCCAATTTTTTAAGTGAGCGGAGATGTTTAAAGAAGTCGGTGTTAATGTGGTGGCAATAGTTATTACTTAGATCTAACTTAGTAATTGATTCTACTCCTTCCACGGGACCGTTCCATTTGCTTAAAACATTGCCTTTAAGATTAACTTCTTGAAGTGAATTCTTGTAAAGAACCAATGATGAAATAGAATAAGACAAACCTTGAAATCTTACTTTTAATACTTTAAGATTAGGAGGCAATGGGATGAGCATGATATGAGGTTGCATGGGTGATTTTTCTTCTAAATTGTAATAATGGAAACTTTGACAATGTTTTTCAATTAAATCAAAGTCTGTCCATGGTAAATCGAAAGACGGATATGTTTCGAAGTATCCACTTATATCCAATTCTTCCAGATTTATTAGGTTAACGACATCCAACATGTATGGTCCGATTTCGAATCTATTATTTCTTGCAAAGACGATTGTCAACGATGAAGGTAGCAATAAAAGCGCACCGGGTTCAAAAATTTCAATTCTGTCATTGTTAATTTCAATTACTTCCAGCCTTGTTTGACTGAAATGTTTAAGCATCTGTTTTGAAATACAAACGCATACAGCGTGTGGATGAACTATACTGCTAGCCCTGAGGATTCTTAATGGCGTATGTCGAAGACCAAACATTGCTTGTCCTAAAGTTTGAAAACCCAAGTTGTGATTTTGACATAAGTCCAATGTGTGTATGTTCCCTAACATGGCAAATCCATCCATTTCGATTGTTGAGATGTTACATGAAGACAAATCAAGTAGTCTTAGCTTGTAGAATTTGGCAAATGTATGGTTTTTGATGTGGTCTAAATTGTTGTTTCTCATGATAAGGTGAGATATATTATCAGGTATATTATATGGTATTTCAGTCAAACGCAGACTTGTACAGTTGGCTGTTAAATTTTTACAGTCACATGGTTTACAACATAAACACATTGTCTGTGATATCATCAAGCCTATCGTGATCAGTACTGGCGACGAAAAGCACCTATGTATCTGAAATGACAAGGCATAGTGTTGATTTTTGTATGAAGACAATCTTTCTTTTTTGTTTAAAACTTTACGTCTGTAGATAAAGAAAGTGTTGAGACATAACAAATTTTGTGCTCCACTGTCGACATGAGTGAAACTAAAATTAGCAAACTTTCATTTAATCTTTGAAAACGAAAATGTAATCTTTTAAAGCGTGCGACGTCACTACTAATCGGAATATCACATCGGATCAACGTCTTTCTATATCTTACTCTGATATAAATCAAAGAGGTCCAGCTACTTTAAGAATTTATCTCGTAAGCTTAACTTACCATGTTGATATATCGGTGAGTAACCTGACGCTGGAAACCAAATATCCAAACTAAGCTTTTTCTCAAGAGATGACAATAAAATATTTTCTGCTAATTTAGTATTAACCAATGATCTGTAACCCTAAAGTTATCCTGGTTGTAATGAGATAACTATTAAGATAACCATTAAAGCTCTTCTTACAGAATTAGATATGTATTTATACAAAGATTATTATTGTAATTTTTATAATAAATGGCATTGATTTTGAATATTTGATACAGGTTTTTTTTTTCTTAATCTAAACTTTAGATATAAAAGTACAACAGAATGTGTTCGCCATGGGTTTTATATAAGTCTAAACGAGTGTTTAGTTCGCGTTAGTGCATAAATCAAAGGGCACTGCGATAGGGGCATCCTTTATACAAAACAATCTTGTGGTATGCATATATATGTTTATTAAGATGTAATTGCCCTTGAAAAATTATCCCAAAATGTAACCATCGCGTCTGAATCACTGTCCTCATCAGGATATTCAATATAAGTATGTGATTTAATCTGATACATGACAGTTGATGGTATTTTATCATATTTAATATGTTTATAAAATAATATTAATAACACATCTCGTCCAGTATGTTGACTTTCCATATCTGCCATATTCATTTCATACAGACACCAGTAACTTATAATAAAATCTGGACTCATAACAAGAATTGTTTTTCTACTCGACTTAACAGCAATAATTATACCTTCAGCGATCGGTAAGGAAGGAAGAAAATCTCTATTATGAAGACAAAGTTTTAAACCAGCGTTTTCCTCAACTTCTAATCTCATTGTGTGATCCACAAATAATCTGGCATCATCAGAATAGGAAATAAAGGCATCATATTCATACACCACATCATTTCCATGGTGTATTTTGTTCGAACGCCTGGCTGAATAATATAAATAACGTAATTTCCATCTAAATCTGTACAAAACAGACCCAGTAAGAAAGCTTAAAATAGTCACTGCTGAAGAAACAGAGGTAATTATCATGCCGATTTTGCTTTGAAAACTTTCGAAAATTCTTCAAAAATACGAGTAGACTGATTAAGATAAACAGTTGTGCCATTTGTAAAAACGCACTGATAGTTTTCAACATTATGAAATTTTAAATGTTCTCTTTTCACTAATAACCACTGTAGAAAATCGAAATTTACACAAGTACAATACAATGGATTTCTCGTAAGATCAACTGTCAGGTGGCCGCCTTTTTTGCCTGACGCATCGAGAACTTCCCGGAACTGCGGACCGAACCATTGAAGACCGTTATAAGATAAATCTAGGTACGTCAAGTTATCAATACCGTCCAGAAGAATATAAAAGTTGGAGCTACTTAGTAAGTTTAAGCTTATATTCAATACTCGGCAGTTCTTTAGCCCATCAAAAACATTCCTGGGCAAATGCAAGAGGTCATTTTTAACCAGGCTAAGATGGGTCACGCTACGGAGGTGCTTTAAAAAAGAAAGATTCCCGTTTCCTATGACTCGCTGTAAATTATTATAAGACAGATCTAATTTTTGCAGTGACGTAAAATTGACAAAGAAGTCCGCCGTAACAAAGTGACAAAAATTGTAAGAGATATCTAATGTTTGTATGTTGTTAACACCACTTACGGGTCCTTCCAATCTGGATAAAACATTCCGTGAAAGATGAACGTGTCTTAAAGAATTGTGACCGAGTTCCAGTTTCGTTATTCGAAAAGCCTTTTCAGCAAAATCCACACGCAGAGTTATGAGGTTTGGTGATAAATGAAAAGGAAGCTGACTAACAGGAAGCGAAGGCCTATATTGGTGTAAGTGGTCGCCACAATCTTCATCTGCTATACTTGCCCAATTTAAAATGGCTTCGGGTATATCCAGTTCTGGGGAATCTAAATTGTCACTTAAATCAAGATCTTCGAGATTTGTCAAGTTAGCAACATCTTTTAAGTAAGGTCCTATAGTAAATCGATTGTTTTGGGCCTTCACGGTTTTTAAAGTAGAAGGTAAAAACTGAAGTGCACCTGGTTCAAAAATCTCTATACGATTATAGTTGACGTGAATTTCTTGTATTTTGGTCTGATTAAAGTATTTCAACATTTGTTTAGAAATACAAACACACACAGCATATGTAGAAACTATACTGTTGGCAATAAGAACTCGGAGGCCCGTGTTTTGGAGGCCAAACATTGCATTGCCTAGTGCTTGAAAACCCATGTTCTGGTTATGGCTCAATATTAATTTATCCAATTTGTAGAGCCTGGCAAATCCATTGGTTTCAATTTTAGTGATGTTACATAAAGATAGATCAAGATGTGTTAGGTTGTAGAATTTTCCAAAGGTATGGTTATGAATATGATATAAACTGTTATTCCTTAGAATAAGATGAGTCGTATCATTCGGTATTTTGTTAGGAATCTTTCTTAATCCAAGACTTGTACAATTTACAATCAACTTATGGTCTTTTTCAAGGCAATGACAAGGCGGGCAAGTCAACTTCATTTTGGTAGCCGACACAAGCACCAGCACCATGATCCAAATAGTTGGCATTAGAACCTATAGAAATAAATGACCATATAAAGATTATATATAAAATATATGCAGCCAGTAAAGTATATTGTAGAGTCAAAATTAATGATAACATAAATATAGACCAGATTATATCCACGACAGTCGATTACAATTTCGGAAAAGGTTTTAACCTAGTACACGAAAATTAATTAGAAATAAAGACAGTGACCGAAGGTCGTATGCCCCTTTATATCAATGCTTTATACTTACAGTCATATTGTATAATGCAGCAAGTCCCAATAAATTCGCTTATGTTTGATACATTCTACTAGATTATGGTATAAAATGGGTTTTTTAACAAGTATTTATATGGGTGTTAGTTTGTTTTATAACAGGATAATAAATAAAATTACATCGTGATAAGGGACAAGGAAAAAAAGTAAAAACGAGGATGATCCGTGCTCCATTCATATAGCTATATTTAAGAGCCACGAACCTAGCTTAAGACGTTGAGATATACCGATGTTTGTTTTTGGTTTTTTTATCTACAATCGGATGCCTTTAGTTTCAACTAGCAAACTCAAAATGTACCATCTTAAAAAAAAGAGATAATTTTATACCATTAGGACTAATTTAACATACTTCAAATCAAATTTCGCTTATCTGCAAATATGTGCCAGACTGCCAGTTAAGTTAATCAAACTGTGTTTTAACCGACTAGGAAAAGGACATTCATAATTACGGTGCATTACCCATGACCTTGTCTAAGTCGAGCATTTGATTGGCAGTTGTACACAACATAGACTTCGCCCCGCGTTCATAACGTCAATCAGGGGCCGTAATATCGGATAAATCGGATAAAAATTGTGACCTCTAGAAGAACCACAAGCGAAGAGCGCGATTTTTCGTACAATCAGGGGTCATAATTTAGGAAGGTAAGATCTTTGGGACATAAACATGCATTCCAAGTTTCATCAAAATCGGATGAAAATTGTGACCTCTAGAGAGTCCACAACCTTGCTTTTTACACTATCTGCGTACAAAGGGCGGCCCTTTTATCCGGCAGTTATGGTCCGATTTTCACGAAATTCGAACTCAACGATCATTAGGGTGTAACGTGATATACTAAAACGGTTTTTTAAATCGGATAAAAATTGTGACCGCTAGAGGGGCCACAAGCTAAAAATGATTTTTCGTACAATCAGGGTCCATAAATCAGGACGTTACGATCCGATATGAGAGAATATCGGCAGGATCCAAGATCATCGGGTTAAAAACATGCATTTCAAGTTTCATCAAAATCGGATCAAAATTGTGACCTCTACAGTGATCCACATGCTAAAAACGTGATTTTTCGTAAAATCAGAGGCCATAATCCATGAAGTTATGGTCCGATACATGCCAATATCGAAACGAACCGAGATCTTTGGGAGACAGACCTATATTTCAAGTTTCGTCAATCGGATTAAAATTATGACCTGTAGAGTGTCCACAAACTGTGGACGGACAGGGGCGACGATAATATACGTCCGCATTAAAATGTGGGCGTATGAAAATGGCATGTATCCTTGGACATTCAAGAATATTGTAGCCTATGATGAAACCATGCAAAAGAGTTCAAAATCAATTTACCACTTTAACAGATATTACAACTGTCGTCGACCATTGCTAAGCTGAAAGTATATGAATTGTACTTATTTAACGGAGCTAAATCGCTAATATTTGGGACCTACAAATTGACACAAATGGGTCGCAACTACTCGCAACGTATATAATAATGTAATATGAATGTAAATAAACTGATTTACATTCAATCGTTTCCGTTTTTACTCTAATATCAAAGCAGTTATGTTCGGCGAAATACGTCGCTTGTTTTGTCTTAAATATTGGATATCAGAAGCCCATCTTTTCCCAATTTTAATTAAAATTGACAAATTATTCGTGTTTTCATTGTCGAAGGTTTTGGGCGATATTGAGTTAAGAGACTTAGCTGCTTTAAAGCACGAAGATAGCAAAAATTAGATCTACGTTTGATGGTTACTAAACAGTCAAAATTCGCCACACTGATTTAAAAGTTCCTAAAAGGGGAACAAGTAAGTTCCTGCATGTAAACAGATCAATGCCATTCCGAAGGAGGTTTCAATGATGATGATGCACAGCTTATTTCAAATTCAAAGGACGATTTAGGAGGTTAATGTTATTCGAAATAAAAGAAGGCCGCAGCGCCGCTATCCAAGCAAAAAAATCACAGTACAGCACACTATGGCACTGGTCTTCATGGTAGTTTTCCCCATTTTCAGTCCACCCCTGTTAGAAGGTAACATTGCAACAGCTTGTCTATTTTCAATAATTATAACATGCGCTTGTTCGCTGGAGCTTTGTTGTAACTACTCCTAAATGAAATGGGTTTAATGTCCTACTGTTTTGCTCCGACTGGGCTAATGAAGACAGACATATGCCATACAGTGTACTATGAGGGAAATTTTGCGCAGGCAGTGGCACTTCAACTCTTTGATATAGGTCGATTTTAGTTTAATTTTGGTTTCCCGTTTTACTTTGTAATAAATGTTAAATGACATGAAACGAATGGGGTTTAACGTCTTATTTGCGTCATATAGTGTGCTGTGAGGGTAATATTGTTCAGAAAGTGGCACTACAGCCTACTGTTCTGTTCCGACTTGGCTAATGAAGATGAGCATATGCCATATAGTGTGCTATGAGAAAAAATGTGACCTGACACCGGCGCTACGCCCTACTCTTATATCGAATTCCAACTGCCAAGGCATCTTTTATGTGCACGCCAATGTATACACGGGACCTCTGTTTTTCGTCACTTCCGAATGACTAGACAGCTGTCCTTGTTAGGACCTCCATCCTGCACCACTGACAAGGGGAAACCGCGTCGGAAAAAACACCACTCCTAAGTCTTTTGACCCCCCAACAAGATAGTCAAATAAAAAAAAATCAATTCCGCCAAAGATTCAAGATCAATGATACACGGAACCTCTGTTTTTCGTCACTTCCGAACGACTAGACAGCTGTCCTTGTTAGGACCTCCATCCTGCACCACTGACAAGAGGAAACCGTGTCGGAAAAACCACCACTCCTAACTCTTTTGACACCCCAACAAGATAGTCAAGAGAAAACAATCATTTCCTCCAAAGATTCATGGTCAATGGCAATTTGATTAAAACACAGTTCCTATTTCATTTCTTATAGTTCAAAGTTTCGTTTTACTTTGTCTTCACAACACTAGGATCTGGAAGAGTTGTTATACGACAGACTTTCTGGTTGATGTGAGGAATTAGCCAATGAAACGGTCTGTTATGCAAGTTCTTGGCATACAGTGCACAGAACTGTGGATAACCCACTAGAAACGTCAACGCTGATTATCAATGTCTGACATCACAGGGTCAAAAGCCTCTCATATGACCCCTGACGCGACCTCCCACTACAACTGGTCAGATCTTCATGTAGTAGAGGCCATCGAAAGTATAACCCAATCTAATCAAAAAAGATTTAAAAAGTCAACTTGAAGTAAGGGAAATTTTATACACTTTTTTATTTTAAAAGATAAAAGGGACAACATATTGAAAGCACTACATTACTTCTTCCTGGAAGAAAGTTTGGAGTGTCAAATGTATTTCTATTACATGTAAAAAGACAAAGGTGTGTATGTTAAAATATACCATAACGATGCTCCAATCCATTTGCTTGAAAGTAGTCTAATTGTTATGCTCTCTTCAAATAAGAAATCAAATTATACACATCTTTTATTATTAGATCAAGGTTTAATTTTGTTAAGAGAACTTTGGTTGGACATCATTTTGACAATCAACATTTCACAACAACAGATTTTTAAGGGTGACATATTAATTCTGTGCAAGAAGAAATGTTTTAACACCACAATCACAAAAAAATTCACATGATCTTGAAAAGGCAAAAATTAAATATGGACAAATTGATTTAAAATAGTATTCTAGAATGAGGAGTTAAAAATGTAAAATGTTTTTATATGACAAATAAATAAGACTACAGAAAAAACAATATACAAGTGCTGTAGTGCTGTACACTTCTTGCACTTGTAGTTCATAGTTATAGTCCCTTTTCACATCAAGGAATTAATAAATCTTAAAAAGAGGCACAGATAAAACAATACCAGTGATTAATTTATAAAACCTGTTGTGAAGGGCAACATGTACATTGACACTGAAAAAATATTTGATCAAAATAATGGATAATAATTCCAAACAAAACACTAAGACATTTCATTGTGTGGGTGTGTGAGTGTATATATATTTATATATATATATATATATATATTAACTTAAGCAAATATAATATATTTCCAGTCTTGGACAAAAATAGATACAATCAAATGTTACACTACACAAAGGAAAATTGCATTAAAAATATAAATTATATTTATAAATCCTCCATGGTTTAAAATTGGGAATATTTTGTTAAACTAATTATTTAAAAAGGTTTATTAAAATTACTATTATAAAGAATTTCTGATGCAATTTTTGTCTTTAGACACAAGGGGTGTACAGTATATATATTCAGGAAACACAAGGTTTTTATTATCAAAATGAATAGAAATATTATGCATAAGGAAACTGATTATGCTAAAGTTGCTAAGAGAGGTTGGTTTGCATGATGACCTCCTCTTCTACTTTATCATTAACTATCTTTTTAATTAGTATATATCATTTACATATATCACCAACAGTCTAGTTACAAAGATGATGGGAATGTATGATGTGGTAACTTCAAACCAATTTAATTTCTCAACACCCTTCTTTAGTAACACTGGCAAAGAACACAGAAATGATTAAACAAACTCTTTACACAATCCTCAAAATAGTAAATAGTTCATACAAATAAATAGCTAAGCTCTTATTTAAATCATCGGGTTTACTGGGTTTCACAAAGGACAACTATTTTATATTAAATTATATGGAATTGAAGTACAGTCATATTCAACTTGGTTTAAAATCATTTCATGGATTGCTAAGGACATAGTTTGCTACGTTTTGCAGAGTGGCAAAGGAAAGACATATTTGTGAAACATCAAACTGCTTTAGATTTAGTTGTATGGTTTACCATATCAGACAAAACTTGTATGTCAGGTATTATATGGCATAGAACTAAATCTAATGCTATTAGGTTTAATATAAAGATGGCTTTAGCATTACTGTGTACTGTTTTCTCTAAATCACAGCAAAGTGCGGACAAAATCGACTAAAAAAAACCCCACATAAACCAACCCACCCTTTAACTTCAACTCTTCAATCCATTTCAGTTATCATATGATATCTAAACAAATATTTCCTCTAACCTTATGTCATACTCATGTAATCAACTTCCTTATTGAATCACAAGATTTGCTGATACATGTATTAAATTTACTAATTTTCTTTTTTTTTTTATATAAATCTGTGCTATTGCTATATATTGTAGTCAAAGTAACAATATTTACAATCACTTTGGTATAATACTGCTACAAAATATATATATCTGGGGAGCTGATTTTATGGGGAAAATTGTCAGATATTTTGTTGCTCTTTTGGTTAGAAGTACATATCAATCACTAAAGCTTAACAGAACAGAACTATCCAGAGAATTCTTTATGTATATGAAGAAAAGCTAAATAAAATAACAAACAATAATGGTAAATAAATACCACTTCTATACATTGTATTTCCTTTTAATTAAATAATTATTAATCTATTATGTATATACATGCATAATAAATAGTAAAAGTAGATTATATTCATAATTGATTTAAATAACAACTCCAGTCTCCAATTCATATTGTACTGGCATTTCTGTTTTAAATGGCAGTTGATATTCATTTATAAGGAATACTTCAATGTATATCAGTAATACAACCATTTATTAACAATATCATATTAGTTATAAGTATATAGAATATTTCATTTTATTATAATGGTTTGAGTTTCCTCTCTAAAATTTCTAATTAATCCTTAATCTTTGTGCTAAGATTGCATAAATTATATGAAAGTTTGGCATCTTAAATCATATTCAGCTAAAATTTATGTCTAGACTAGAGTACATTGCCAAAATAATGAATCTAATTAAAATATTAATAATTTTTTTTTTTCTTTTCTTTTTTTTTTAAAAGGAAAAATAGAATAATATAAAACATAAATCTTGCAGATCAAGAAAGAGAGAAAAAAAACCTTGTTAGATACCAATATTTCTATGTGACGGGTAGCATTAAAAATGAGAATGATTTAATGAATGAACAGTAATGCTAGCAAAATGCTGCCCAAATACTGCAATATATGAGCTTGTATATATAAAATATCTAGAACACATGTATATCATATTGATATACTTTCAAGGAACAGTTATTAATAGATTGACTAGTTCATATATATATATATTTTTCTATATATATAAACTAATGTGGTTTAGTTAATACACCTTTTAATTATATGTGTATAATATATAACAAAAGAAAAAAATAGATTTGATATAAAGCACTAGGTTTATCAGCGAATTTATCTATTTTTTGAAAAATATCAATTTCCATTTTCAGTTGATATACGCCTATTGCACTGACTAATTAGAATTAATGAGAGGATTTCAAATAGGACAAAATATAGAAAATATACAACAGCTACATGTATGAATAGCAGAAAATACAAAAAAAATGTGGACAATCACTTATCAAATATGGTAGCACAAATACCATGTGCCCAGTACAATTCTTTCCATGCACCTTTATACAGGATTTAAAACAGTGCATTATAACCCTTACTTCATCTTTCCCATACACTGAGCATTTATCTACCTACCATCACTGAACCTGTGTCATTATTCAATATTTATCATTACCACATAATATAATGCCAACTGTCCCCAAATCAGCTTAAAGTATAAAGTTGATTGCTGTTAATTCTCATAAAATTATTAAGAGGTCTGTACCCCTCCTGCATCAAAACCTCGATCCTGAGCCAGGACTGTGGATGCCTTTTGGCACTGAAATTGTTCTTAAAATAAGATGGAATAAAAATGTGTGTACAACAAACCATGCAGAAGAGGTCAGCTGTAAACAGCCAAAAGGCAGAATGCCTAAAGCTAAAAAAAAATTCCCAAAAGTAATAATTGGCTAAATTTCTATTTAGAATGTGGTGTTGAAGCACTTCCTGAACGATGAAAATGGACATTTTGCCATTTATTATCTTTCCTTTGCCATACTCTGGTTTCTTCAGATTGCATTGTCACGGGAAGGCCATTTCTGTAAATAAAAGAAAAAGCTAATGTCCCCCGCCGCAATCCCAAAATAAATAGATGACAAATATTAATTAATTGCACATTTATCTTTTTGAAAAGTATCGAGCAATCAAACTGATTGTCTATACTTAGTACCTGGTAGTCAAGGTAATGGTATAATGAAATTATACACCAAGTTTCATCATTCTCACTATTTAAGTTATCATGTCCAAAAGAATCAACCAATCAAAATGCTTATCTATGCTTAGCCTAAGCAGAAAACACTCATCTTCTAAATCTATCAAGGCATTCACCTAATAAACACCTTCAACCAAGTTTGAACATTCTAATAGTCCCATTTTAATAGTCCCCTGCTTTACTCGAAAGGTGACAAAAAGAAAAATTGAGTGAGTGAATGCAAGCTATAGGCTAAAATCAACTAACATGTGTCACGTCTTTAAAGAGAACCAACGGCTGCCAGGCATGATACGCCCACATTTTGCAAGAGATCGATAGAGAACAAGCTAAAAACAAACAGGATTTTTTGTACTATCAGGGGCAATAATCCAGAAAGTTATGGTCTGAAATGCACAAATATCAAAAGGGGCTGAGATCTTTGGGATATAAAGATATGTTTTAAGTTTCATCAAACTCTGATAAAAATTGTGACCTCTAGAGGTTCCACAACCTTCGTAGCAATCTTTTACACAATTTGGGTACAAAGAGCGGCCATTTTGTCAGGCAGTTTAATTTTGATTTTCCCAAAATTTGAATTCAACCTTCATTATGGTGGAATGGTGATATATCCAAACGGTTTTTAAAATCGGAAAAAAAAATTGTGACCTCGAGAGAATCCGCAATCAAACAATCAGGAGCCATAATCCAGGAAGTTACGGAACCAAGATCTTAGTGTGTAATGGTGATAGATTCACAAGTTTTTTTTAAATCAGATAAAAATTGTGACCTCTACATGGACTGCAAGCTAAAAACATAATTTTTTGTACATTCAAGGGCCATCATTCAGGAAGATACAATCCAATACGTGCGAATATTGACAGGAACCAAGATCTTTGGGTTATAAACATGTATTTCAAATTTCATCAAAATCAGATAAAAATTGTGACCTCTAGAGGGTCCACAACCTTGATATTGATATACCGATTTGGGCCGATTTTCACGAAATTCGAACTCTACCATCTTTAGGGTGTAACGGTGATATATTGAAACGTTTGTTTAAATAGGATAAAAATCATGACCTGTATAGGGTCTTCAAGCTAAAAACATGATTTTGCGTACAATCAGGGGCCACAATTCAGGAAGTTACAGTCCGATATGCGCAAATATCGAAAGGAACCGAGATCTTAGGGTTATAAACTTACATTTCAGTTTCAACACGATCGGATAAAAATTGTGACCTCTATAGGGTCCACAAGCTAAAAACGCGATTTTTCGTACAATCAGGGGCCATAATCCATGTGGACGGACGGACAGGGGCGACGACAATATATGTCCACATGAATATGTGGGTGTATAAAAATTCTGTGATACCATGTTGATCAGAAAAAGCATGTACATTTCTCCATTTCATATAAAATTTAATAATAACTTTACCTGTCAATGTATTGTGTAAGTCGAACATATGCAATACATGCAGAATCATCACCAAGTAAATGTACATGAGGATTCACCATGCTTGTATTCACAGCCTTATTATTTTTAGACAGCACTGAAATAGATAATGCATGAGCAATGAGAACTGAAACATATAAAAAAAAGATATCTAAATAACATAGTATAATCAATTATCTATACAATTAATCATAATGAAATTTTAGTTCTGACATTCGAACAATCTCAAAATGTTTAGAAATTACAAAGTTTTCAAACATTTATCCATATTTGGTCAGTCTGTTGATACCAACACGTCTTTAATCGCCTATTTACAGGTTGGATGAAAGGATGAATTTGTATGATTTCTTGTGTTAAATGATGGCAAGGGGAGTATCCTGTAAGACAGAATCACATAGTGGTCCCTAGGAAATACAAGAGACAAAACAGCCATTATTTATTATCATTAATTAAAACACTTTTAGTATTGTTACTAATACAAAAGGATAAATCATCTGTGACTAACAATCAATGTTTTAGCTCTAAGATACCAGGAGCTACTTGTGATGGGTCACCTAAATTTGCATTAAATCTATTAAAGATATATTTCTGTGATTGTACGTCAAGATCATATATATATCACCATAAATACTGCGGAAATATATTTGCCACTAAAAATAGACCTTTTGGGGTACTTGAAGAGAAGGTTATTTTAACAATCTTAAAAATTTAATACATATGTAGCCACGAACCAAGAGGGATGGCACTACATGAAAATTTATGCAAGTATTAAGATATCACTGGTAGACTTATGGTGATGTTCTGTAATGGGCCTGCAATCATATTTCTAGCGTGAACATAAATCCAAGAATTCCAAGAAAAATGTTTGCAAGATTCCGGGCTTTTTGAAAATCATCATAATTGTCAAGTAAATACTATATTCTAACAATTCTGAAGTTGGCATAAAATTAAATATTGGTGAAAACACCCGATGCCTTCATCCTTGGCAAAGAATTGAGTATTGGGTTAAATTTTGATATAAACAAAAATGCTGAAAACATAGACAAGGGAAATCCATTAACAGTTTATGAAAAATATCAATAACTATTGATAACAATATTTAGTTTAAACAATTTACCGGTATTTGATAAACCAAATAGAATTTAACAACAGACAAGGGCCAACATACAGTAAGTTCTCCCCCAAAATCATTTCTACTATAATATCTGTAAACCTTTATTTCAGTTAGGAGGCTAAAGTTCTAACAAATATTTAAACCGAAACAAACCATCTATAAATATTTAGTTTCCTCACTAAAATAGATATATGGCCAAAACTAAATAATACTGTAATGGGGAGTGACAATAATGTAATGAAGAGAAAAGAAATCAAATGGGGTTTAATGTTTTACCTTACTGTTCTGGAAAAACCCAGATAATGATGATGAGCATACACCATGCATTACAATTCTTTTTTTTTCTTTCTTTTTTTGGGGGTGGGGGTTGCAATATACATGTACAGCTAGTATTCCTGCTTTCCATGCAAGTGTCATCAGTGCAAGTGAGACACGGTCACTCAGAAAAGGGTTGGCTCACTTACTGTGAGGTCCAGGGTTTGATACTATTCCAGTGTGGTTTCCCCTTGTAAGTGGTGAAGGATGTAGGGCTCAGTGAGTACACAAGTACACAAAGCCGTCGCATAAATTCACTCATACTGAACAGTACACTGTGCCTCAATTCACGCCACATGGCTAATTGTTTACATCACGAGGTTTGATTGACAGCTTGCAAGTGACATGTATTTCATCTGCTTCAATGTTTTTGTGCTTGCTGACAGTGTTTTTCACCATAAACAGATCAAAATTATGGGCATGTGAGACATATAATATAGTGCATTTTCGCACATAATGTCGAACTGAACGTCTTTTTCTTTTTTCTTCCATTTCCTCTTGAGAATGACTGGGCTCGAAGTTTATACGGCATTACCTCTTCATCGAATAAATGAAGACAACAATTTATTCTGGAATATTACTGACGTGAACTTCAAGCTGGTACGTGAATTAAATATGGAAAATTTCAAAAGGTCGTTATTTTTGTGGTAAACACATAGGCCTACATTAAAATACGACATTTTCCATAACAAATTGCCAAGAATTATTTTTGTTGAAATCTAGTTATGTTAAAAGGGATGGAAGCTTATAATTAACAAATTTTCTACTAGGACCTCATTCGACCCAATTCTGAACAGTTCGTTTTAAAATGGATTAAGAACCCAGCATTATAGATCTATATTTCGTTTCATATACTTTCGATGACCTCTACTACATGAAGACCTGACCAGTTGTAGCAGGAGGACGTGTCTGAGGTCATACGAGCGGCTTTTGACCCTATGATAATCAGACATTTGATTAACCAATCAGTATTGATGTTTCTAGTCGGTTACCCACAGTTCCATGCAACTCACGCCAAAAACTCGCCGTAACAGACCGTTTCATTGGCAACATCCAGAACGCGGGTTATATAAGAACTCTTCCAGATCCTAGTGTAGTAAAGACAAGAAAAAAACAAAATTTTGAACTATAAAGAAACGACACAAAATCAAAATTTTTTGCCAAGGATGAAGGCATCAGTTGCTTTTGCCAATATTTAATTTTATGCCAACTTCAGAATTATTAGTATAACTATAGCCTTTACTTGACAATTGTGGCCATTTTCATTAGGTCCTAAATCGTGTTATTGCAAACAATTTTTTTGGAACTCTTGGATTTGTGTTCCTGGTGTGATAAGCTTTCCAAGAATGTATAGTTTGCTTAGCTACGAGGACCATGTAGCAGAATTGCATTTCTAAGCAAGCTAGAAATTTTGGCTGCAAGCCTAAAATAATCAATTTGTTTTATTTATTGTTGTATTAAAATCATGTCCATAATTTTTATCTTTTCTGGTCAATAAAAATATATTATACATACAAATTGGTTAAGTGGAATAATTAGTTAACATGTGCTCAAGTGAACATATCTTTATCAGTGTTTTAGCTTTACTTATATCACAGGAATCTGACCTTCTATCTGTATATATATGCATACACCATGTCGTACCAGACAATATATAATAAAAAAACAACAGGAATGCAATGCCTGTTGAAAACTCGATCTTACCTGCTCTCGCTTCGGCTCGGTTTTTTTCAACAATTCGTAATGTCAGGCAACCAAACTTCTGTCAATTCACACAGATATGTTTTTTCTTCAATCTAGTCGTTTTGATTTGCATAAATACTCTGACAAAACGATATCATCGCCACTTGTTTCCAATATTTACAGCGTTTTCGTCCATTTTCATTTTGTCACGGCCGCCATGCGCTGACGTCACACAAATAGACGCATTCGACAGACCTCGGTTTTTTTGTTGCTGGGGTTGAGGGATTCTACCGATATTCGCCGAATATGTATAGACGTTTCACTGATGCATGAGACGACCCTACTCCTTATTATGTGTTAATCATTCGGCCATTTTAGAAGTTTGGTTGCCTGACATTACGAATTGTTGAAAAAAAACGAGCCGAAGCGAGAGCAGGTAAGATCGAGTTTTCAACAGGCATTGCATGCCTGTTGCTTTTTATTATATATTGTCTGGTACGACATGGTGTATGCATATATATATACGGATAGAAGGTCAGATTCCTGTGCTTATATTCAACTAACAACAAACTATACAATTTCCGAAACATTCCACAAGATGCTATTTGTACATGCAATGCTATAGAAGACATTATTATTGGCCAAAATTTTACCTAGCATACATAGGTGACTTTATGGGTATTATTTCTCGTTTTTCTATTTGTTTATAAAATTCAAATAATCTATACTCTCTAAGGTGTCAAACTTTTATTTACACATCTCACAATTTCACTAAAATGTTATGGTATCAGTTTTCATTCAAATAATAAAATGATTAATAATCAAATTTAATGTTGACTCAAAAAACTTTGGCAAGACCTTGAAAGAATGTTAAATGTAGAGGTGACAATAATATATTGCTGGCTAGATACAAGACAAAATTCAAAACAAATTTATATACTTCCGAGGGAGAGAATCTGTACAAACTATATTTTACAAACTAAATGAAGATTTTAAGACACAAGACAACACTAAAACATAATGAAAGGGCAGAAATAAAAGATAAAGTTAAAGCCCCCGATCACCTATAAAATTTCATCAACTAGCTTATAATATTTTGGCTAATTATAACATCACAATACATATATTTGTACTAACCAATATCTTAAATTAAGATTGTGTTAAAAAAAAAAAAAAAAATCTCATTGCAAATTTGACCCAGTTCAATCTACTTTCCCATGTAAAAACAACAATAAACACTGAATAACAAAAATAGTTAAGAGTCAAGTACATAAACAAAAGTAAACAACTAAGGGAATATACTAAAGGTGAAAATTAGAGGAGAACTAACATCACAGTACAACGTCCAAGGAAATACTGGTTCTCAGACACTACACTTATTGTGTCATTAATTGGGGAAGAGAACAAGATATTAAAATAATACCCGTAGCATGACGAGAAAAAGTGTTGTCACTCTTCGGGAGGTACTGAGCCACTCCAGCAGTACAAGCTCCTAATAAGGAAAAAGCATTCCCAAAAACTATATAAATATCATAATATCACTCAAAAACTAAGGATAGATTTTCAAAGATAAAGTTATGTCTATGATTATATTACTATATGAATATTACACGATTAATTATCTACATATTATTAAGGATGGGTTTAATACAATCATTAAATATATTACAGACTGGATACTATATGATAATGAAGTTTGGTATTTATATGAAGTACAACATCAGAAATACATGTATATTATCTAACATACATATATCTATATAGGTGCCAAGACAATACTGCAAAGTGTTTGAACTGAATCTACTATATAACCTCCATATTTACATACAACTATTTTATATCTATATACAAAGTGGATACAATTTACATGGGTAGACATGATGGAGTGGCAATTTTCTACACTAATTTAAACTAAAAACATTTACTTATTCTACATTCCAAGAAGTGGGAAATACTCTGACATATATCTTCTAGACCAATCTACTAACAGAAATAATTCTATCCTGTAGGAGAGTGTCTGAGAACACAATTTACCCTCAATATTTAATTCTGGAAGCAACATAATAGAACAACTAAAAGATTTGAAGACCATGTCCCATACATTGCACAGTGAAGTAATTATAAAGTTTTGTGTACACTTTGATACATACAATTATATAATATTCATAAAGCTAAAAGGACAGTAGCTACAGTACACTTAAATTCTTCAGAATTCACCAATTGTATCTAAATTAATAATAGTTATTTCATGAGGAGAAACTTACTTAGTTTAAAATGGAAATCTAACTCTATTGGAAAAAAAACAAACAAAATGTGTTTTTGAAATTTCCATTCAAAAGGCAAATTACGCCAAATTGTTCACATACCGGTACATCTCATAAGTCAGAAATATGTACAAGTACATGGAAAGACATGGAGCATGGGCTGGCTTGTATGAATATTTTTATATATTTGAGTTTAAGACACATAAAATTCTAAAGAAAGTAAATTTTATATGGCAACAGCTCTTAATTTGTGCACCAACATGTTTTTAAAAACAAAAGTATTTTTGATTCTGTATAGTCATCTACTTGTAAGTTTCTCTAAAGCAAAAATTTGAACAGATTTTAAAAAAACTTTTTGACAAAAATTAAGAATGCCACATATAATAATTCTAACTGGAAAATTTTAAAGGGCAAATCAAGATATATAAATGAAAAATGCATGAAATGCAAAGCATTTTCATAACTGTCCAAAGACATAGTTGAAACACCAAAACAAGTTGATAGTTGTATGTATCAGAGTATAACATTGTTATTAGCAAAATAATAATGAGACATTACAACATTAAAAGAGTTACATGGTCTGCCATTTTAAACAAGAACCAATAATGGAAGAAGCCACATACGCACACAAATATATATGTATAACCATTTCGTTTCTCATCAATTCTTGGCTTCAATAATAAGAAGGGAAATAACTCTAATGTTGTAGTTCACTCAGACAGACCATTAGCTTTTAAATAATCAATAACCCATAAAACTAAAAGCTACTTCTACCAACTAATACAAATGAAAAAAAAAACAACAAAAAAACTAAATGCTCTACAAAAGAAATTGGAATAGAAATCAAGGGTATAAGATGCATGTATAGCAGTATTACAAGAAATGATGGTTATTTGTGTTATTCAACTTATAAATTTACTGATATTTTGATCAATCAAATCAAGTTATAGCAGTATATATTATGCTCGGGTTAGAGAGTCAATTCACTAAAACATGCAGTAGTGCTTCAGATAAAGGGCATAAGAATTCCAAATGTTTCTTCAATTATACGAACGCAGCAGATTCAGTTGCATTCTGTAATTATAACCTGCTGAACACTCAAACCTTAACCCAGAATTAAACTTTAACAAATACATAGATTATGTTTTAGCTTTCCATTGTATAGTCTGTTCAGTCTTGTAATTATTCCTATTTCAAGTATATTTTTTGGATCACCTAGTGGTAATAGAATAAAATGGGGTTTAACATGCTACTTTTCTGCACAAACAGGGCATAAGTCATGTAGATAGAAATTTTGAGCCGACAGCAGTGTTTCTGCATACTCTTCCTTAAATTCCATCTGTCAAGGGTTTCAACTAGAAAATGTGTCGATCTCTGTGATCCGTCCTATCCCTCCATCCTGCACCAATGAAAAGAGGGAAAACCAGCCTGGAAAATCCTGAGGACCTTTTTCTGCCAACATTTGGATTGAACCCGGACCCTTTTGGTCTGTGAGCTAGGGCTACACCCACTGAGCCATGATGGCTCTCAAGCTAAGTAGTATACCGTAGAGTAACAATATTGTAAAAGCATTTTTACCCTTTATCTTGAGCACTGTATTATGTGAGACATAAAAGTGACAAAGCAACTGAAATAACTTTCAAAATGTCAGGATTTCTCATTAATAAATACATTAGCTTATTTCGATTCAAATTTAAACAAAATGTAAATACTCCAACAAGCTTTGATATTCTACTTTTAGTCAAATATTGGACAATTTGTTGATTGGATATAGTCTGATGTGCTAACATATAATTTTATTTACATGTATTTTGTGAACTGTCAATTCAGACTTTGTTGTGAAGTGGCCATTAGCTCTTCAGCTATCAAATATTTGCAAAAAAACAAGAATTAAGTCAACTTGCACAATCACGTTTTCTCTTTAAAAAATGAAAATACATGAAACACATCAAATATAATCAAATCAACTTCTTCAATATATGCATATAGGATAATATACTTATTCCAGAAACCTGACATTTATAATCCAACAGACAATAAAGAAAGTAATTGTTAAACAGGCACATGCTTTTATGATATGATGATTATTATTAAGACATAAACACAGTAATAAAAATTTGATATATATGTAAAACTATATGGATGATTTTAAATATTACATAATTACAATCTAGTCTTAATAAAGCTCTTTATTAATAAGAAATTAGAACTGAAAAAATTAAAGTTATGAGCAAATTTAAACATTAACAAAGGGTGTTTTTTAAAAGTTAAATATACTTACCATGATCAAAATAGAATTTATGGAAGTCCATACCAACAATAAGATTTCCTAGTGCTTCAGGTTCAAAGCTGGTCAAATTAGGATCTATCAATTTTCTGAAATCATAGGATAAATGCATCAAGAAAGTTTCCTTTGAGTTTGACCCATCTAATTTAATGCAAAGCTATTTTTATAACAATTACAAGCATGTATACAAAATGAGATAATAGGGAAAAGATTTCATTACTATTATTGTTATGTGGTCAGACAAATAAAGATGGCTTTTTTTGATCAATCTGTTTTTAATAAGGGTACTTATGATTATTTTGACAAAGTTGAATTTTGACCATATCCAGTTTTATATTGTCTGCAGGGAATGCCAATTGTTTTGTGAAATTTGCAATTCACAATATCTTGGTAAATACTGAACAGAAATGAACCATTTTTGACTGATATTTCTTTCCAAGATTCAATTTTAATAATATAGTAGTTTTCTAGGAATCTACAATCCCTCAAATGATGTACCGGCCGGTACAAGACATCCTCCTTTATTTAGACAAACCAAATATCTGTGGGAGACAAACAAACACCAAATATTTATGCTCTTAAAGGGATAAGTAAGTTTTAAATGTAAACTTACGTATAAGTATCATAATCACCACCAGTTATAGCTTGTAACAATTGTTCTGTTAATTTAACTATTTCTTGTTTTCGACCTGAAAAAGGTGTTAACATGAGAATTACCAAATTAAGAGATCAGAAAAGTCCTTTTTTGTAATATTTATATATGTAAGTGTACTTTTATTCCATTATTATTATATTATCTGGGTTCTATCTTGTATTTTGGGGGCAAAAAATAGTATTTCTATATTTTCTTCAAAATTAACCTGAAAATAGATAAACATTTCCTTGGGTACATTTTAGTTCAGGAATGATAGTTTGTACATTTCTGTCAGTGGCTGAAGAATAAAAAGCTGATTAATGCCAATAGAACTCATCTTCTCAAGCAGGATTATACCAGATCCCAACAAAAACAAAAGTCCTGCAATAATTTGTTCTTTGCAAGACAACCTATTATACTTCTTCCATCTGGTCAAATAAAATCATTAGACTTAAGCGCCTGTAGTCATTATCATTCCTTTAATGCTGCTGACATCAATAAATCAATGATGGTAGAGATTACATAGAGTAAATATCCCATGGAAGGTTATTAGCTCTACAGCAGATATTTCTATTGATGTCAATTTAACACTTCTAATAGTTTGTTTTTCTCTACAAACAATGATTTAGTTTATAGTTTTGCTTTGTTCCATAAAAATATTACTAGCAGAATTATTTGAAATCAACTAAAATAAATGTGTTGTTTCCAAACTCCAGCTTCTCAATACAAGACACAATAAAACAAAACTGACCATTTAACAAAGTTAGTTCACAAAATTCAGATTAGTTAATTTGCTAATGTTTTAATCAGAAAAAGCGGAATTATATGGTACATGATATACACCACTTGTCAGGTAACTAAATCCATAAAATTAAAAAAAAAACCAAGAACTATTAGCCATGCAGATCAAACAACTACTGTTCAAGGGATTTCTGACAATTACATGTACTGCCCCTTTATATTTATTCATGCAAACATTATTATCTGATTACTCATTTCATGATCAAACTCAAATCAGCTTAAACAAAACCAAAGCTCTTTTTATATGCTATTTTACAATTTTTCTCAATCTGAATAAAATAGTTTGTTTTTTGTTTGTTTTTTTTTGGGGGGGGGGGGGGCACGGTTCAAGAGGTCATACCAGCGGCTTTTGACCCTATGATGTCAAATATTTGATTAACCAATCAGCATTGATTTTCTAGTGGATTAGCCACAGTTCCGTGCACCTGACGGCAAAAGCTGGCAGTAACAGACCATTTCATTGGCTACTCCCTCACATCATCCAGAACATGTCAATGATAACAACTCTTCCAGATCCTACTGTAGTAAAGACAAGCAAAACAAAATTTTGTACTATAAAAAATGAAACGAAATAGGATCTGTGTTTTTTAAAATATGATTGAATTTTGCTTGAAACTACAAAACTGTGATCAATATAAAGAGTTTTCACATACTTTAAAATTATTCAACTTGACCCTACTTAGGATAACCTTGATAACTTTAAATTCAATTTAAAAGAAGTTATTGTTTATTCCTTAAACACATATATCTTTTAAAAAATGAGGGGACGGGGAGGGGGGGGGGGCAAAATTTTGTTTTAATACAAATGAAACAGCAAAAATGAATGCAATATACTAATTGTGAACAGCATGGCACCACAGCAAACAGAAATACACAAAGTCATAGTAAGGGGTAGTAGCCCATGAGACTATATGATGTGATTCTGATAAATAAAACTGTGACTTTTAACTGATTGATTATGAAAATGAAGTAAGCATAGTTTGACTGGCTGTGTCTTGCTAGATGTGATTATATTGGAGGTAGGTCCTACTTGTCATCACACCACAAACCTATACTCACATTCTATTTCTGGTTTGCCTGATACAAGTAGGAATACATTAGTTTCATTTATTCTATATCCTTGTATTTCATATAAATGGTAACATTCAATATTCTAAAATCCATCACAATAGTATAATAAATATCAGCTTCCGTTTTACATATAGAGATCAAGAAATTATTGTGAGCACAAAATTAACACATTAATTTTAATATGCATTTTTATTCTTTGCATGAAGTAGATAATCAGTGGTATTGTCGAGCATGACACACACCTCAAAATCAGATGATGGGTTAATCAATGTCTTTGATAAACATGTCATTATCTAGCTGGTGTTTTATGTATGTTAAATTAGAAAAACTGACTTATTTAAGACGAAAGTAGGCTACGGAGGATTCTATTAATTTTAATACATGTATGCCAACACCCTTAGTATCTCAGTGAACAATAAGATAGGTTGCCAGGCAACGAAACATACACCCACAGCAGCTAAGTTGTCCGAGCAGTCAACAAGGGTTGTTGCATATTTTTTCTTTTGTCAGTAAAGAAAACTTTTACAATGTATGAAAATCTTATGAGTAATAACCCATTAAGTAATTATCACAAATCATTAGAATTTGTTTCAATTGTTTGTCTCATGACCTTGAACAATTTATATTAACTTTAGCCTCTAGAGCATTCACAAGATTTTTCAAAGTGGCAGTAATTATCGGAAATCTTTGAAAATAAACAGGATTCTTCATCTCATGATCTTTAACACTGTGTATAAATTTAAAGACAATTGGATATCAACTTTAGCCTCTAAAGCGACCACAAGATATATCAAAGTGATCAAGGGCCATATAATAAAAAGAGAGCCACTCAAAGCATGGAAATATGCCCACCTGCAGCTACGTTTCAAAACCAAAAGGCAAATCTCTATCTTGCTCACAAGTTTTTTGAAAATTAACAGGGTTCATCCATTCTGATATTAAGACTTCACATTAAAAATCTCTTAAAAACTGTAGTCTTTATCGCATTTGTTCTCTCAGAAAGACAGAGGGGATAACTCTGGAACAAAATGACGTAGAACACTGATAATCGATAGAAATCATCTTTTTAAGCTTTGCAATAGTCACATCCAATTGGGAAAATATCAGTCAAAAACTTTTGCATATATCACTGTAGACTGCGGATGGGCGGACATTGGAGATGACTATATATGCCCAAACTAGGTGTGGCACATAAAAAGTAATGTATTGTTTATACATACCTTTAGTATCTTCGTCTTCTATTGTACTACTGTCTGTTGATTCTTTTATAGCATCATTTTTCTTAACATTCAGACTACGACCTACAAATATATATCATAAGTATTACATTGAATGAAAAATTATATCCCCTTATTTTTTCATAACCATTACCTTAGATGCATGTACCTACAGAGTTTTCACAATGTATTAATATTACAGAATGTACGGTACATAAATTCATTATCCTGTTTTCCATTTCTAGTTTACATGTAGCTTCATTACAGCAATCAAAAAATCAGTAATTAGTATTGTCACTAAAATGATATCTAGTATGGTTAAAAAATCTAATCATTACATGAGAGACCAACATATAAGCATATTACCGGTACATGTGAATCAAAAGCTTATACTCCTAAATATGCAATAACATTTGATTTGATGAATCAGCTACCTTTAGTTTCCATTAATTTCACATGTAGAAAAAAAAATACACCCCCATCCCCAGCCCACCTTCACATAATCACAATATAAAAGGAAAAGAAATGGTCTGACATTAGAATTTTTGTGCGTGTTTAATATAGATAGATCCGTCTAGTATCAGTACCAATGAAAACAGAATACTAATTCAAAATTAAATAAACCATGATTGTTCTTAATAATTACCAAAGAATTCATAAATTTCAGACCCAAGGAATTATTATTTACCATTGCCTTCTTGTTTCGCAATGAGACCTGCATAGTTTTTATTCAAGTCAACTGATTCTAATTATTCAATGCTTCATCTACATGTATTTACATTCATGTGTTTAGGAACTAGTTCACATCATACAAATACTTATTGCTATGCTTTGGTATTTGCTTTACTTTCTCTTTTTCCATACTAGACAATTCTGAGTTATCCTTCTTCAAACACACAGTATTTTAAAACAAAACTCCCCCCAAATTACTGAGCTCAGTGTGTTCACATTACTGTATCATAATGGAACGACAATCTTGCATCAAAATCAGCACACAACCAAATTCTTGTTTTTCATGGAATTGACTGACTCGGTTACAAATTCTTAATAAACATTGCTAACACAACTTTTTGTGTTTTATGTTATCAACTAAATTTGTCTCTTGGTACAAGTGACTAAGAATTGAAATAGAAAAAAATCTAACAAAGAATTAAGGCGCAGTAATAGGAAAAGTAATAACAGAAAAATCTTTTAGCATATAAAGCATTAAAATATTTGAATATAATACTAATGAATTAAATAATAAATCAATATACATGTATCAATAGTTACTCTTCGGTATATCTATTTGATATATAAAACTGATATCAACACAGATATATGATTACCTTTCTTGTAGTAAGCATTTAACAATGGTTTATAGTTGATGTTTTGTCTAACAGTAAGAAAATGGTACTCCATGTTTTTGCTCATAGAATTAATTTCCTTCTTTAACATAAGATTAGACTAAGTGATAATAAGTGATAGATGGGTATAAATGATCAAATTAACACAACAAAAGATTCCTAAAAAGCCCGGTTATGTTCTATATCTACAGTAACAGTTCTACACATGCATTTTGTTCAATAAAATCAACTGCCACTGCCACTACATTATATCAATCATTCTTAGAAATCCATATCCTTTTTCTTGTTTATAGCCTAAAATAAAATTAGTTGTGTCAAGGCTTTAAAGTTGTGTTTTAAAATGTTGTAGAATAATGCTGATAATAACTTTAAGATCAATATAGATCTAATGATGAATCTGTATAAAAGTACTCGCTGCCTTTAAGCTCAATAATCAGGTAGATTATTGACAAGTCAAGCTTCTACAATATGACCATACCACGATAATTACAACCTTTTCGCAGCCGTCAACAGTCCTTATAGAAAAAAAATCCCTCTAATATTAGAAGACCGATATATTTGTAAGGAAGGAAAAATAGAAAACCAGATAATTTTAATGTGTGTGCAGTAAACCATATCTCATGTCATCAAAAAACCAAATATACTTCATTTCAGATTTGCATGAAAAGTTAGTATAAAATGAAATGAAAAATATCATTTTTTTTTATTGGATGACGATTGCAGTTACAAAGATAGGTTGCCAGACAGCAAAACATACACCCACAGCAGATATATTGTCCGAGTAGTCAACAAGGGTTATCACATATTATATCTTTTGTAGGTAATGGGGGGCATTTACCTGACAATTTCATACAGATCAAATTATAATTTTTGTCCTCTGAGGGTTCACAAGGTACTACAAACTGAACAAGGGCCTTAACTCTGGAAGTAATAAACAGAAATTGATGAAATTTGACAGCCTTTTTCTTCTTACTAATTTAAATAATGCACATACATTTCATACATATCGGATAATGATTTGTTCAAGCATTCATATTGTTCACCAAAGTGAAACAATGGCCATAACTCTAGACGTAATGAACGGAAATTGCTGAAATTCAACAGACATCTTCATTTCACTAATCTAAAGGATGCACTTAAATTCGTACCGATGCGATGATCATTTTTGACGTTAGAGCGTTCACAAGGTGCAATAAAGTGAAACACAGGCTATAACCCCAAAAGAGATAAAGGGAATTTATTGACATTAAATAGGCTTCTTCATCTCACTAATGTCAACAACATATATCAATTTGAAAACAATAAAATGATAAATGTAGTCTGTAGAGTGTTCAAAAGAAATGGTGGACGGACGGACGGGGGAGACAACATTATACGATCACATTTCCATGTGGGTATATAAAAATGCCCCAAATGGTTAAGTTGTCATACTGCCATCATTCCAGAAGTCCTTGAGAAATGCGTTTCTGAACATTAGGCCCAATTGGTAATTTTCGACATTCCACAAGAATTAAAATTTGCCAGAGAAAATCCACAGGGTTAGGCAGGTGATCCTACTCTGTAACATTTTAGACCATAGGCCCTATTTACAACCAGAAATTAATGTATCATCACAACCATTATGAACCTCATAAAAAAAGTTACCTATACAGTGTCATACTGACTTTCTTTACAGACCAAACAAGTTTCTACATTAAAGAGAGATACTGCTAAGAATTAATATATAATATTTTCAACTCATTAAAGGGGCATTATGTAAGATTTAGATAAAGAGCTGGCCGTTCTCGCTATAATATTTCAAAATGAGATAATATAAATATAATCGAATATAATCGAAAATTTCTTTTTAATTACTTTATTTTGAGCAACGCTATCAATGGTTGTAGTTTTGACAAGATGTGTGCATTAATCGCAACTACCGTACTGGTCATCTGACTTCTCCATTTTTCAATTAAATCATTAAATGGCCAAACTGTTCTAATCTACTTGAAATCTGTGTCATATTTAAGGCTCAAAGAAAGACCTGCAATAGGCAGATTTAGCTCTTACATAATATGCCTGTTTAATTAAATTTGTATTTTATAATTTAATATTTAAATTCTCAGCAGTGGTCTCTTTTAGTTTCTACAGATCAACTACGAAACTGGAAAGCTTATATAACACATTAAAGGTTTTCCATTGTTAAAATGCAGGAAAGGTCAAAGAACTTTCACCAACCAAAACCACCCCACACATCGCAAAACAAGTACCACTACCTGCTTGTTGTGCTCCATTACCAGTTTGCTGAGCACCACCATGACCTAAACAAAACCATTAACAGTTCATATTGCATCCAATTCTTATTAATCTTTTTTTTTATAATAAATGAAAAGCATTAAGTTAGAGACATATACAGATCACAATTCTATGGAATACAATTACTGCTTATGACTGAGCAAGGTTTTGAATAGGTTTTCTAGTCATTATCAAGCAGTAATTGTATTCCATAGAATTGTGACCTGTATAGTCCAGTTCAATTACTAAATGCCATTGAAACAATTTAAGTTAGAGATGGTCTGTGTATCAGTTCCTGATGTGTATTATTATGTGTATGTCTTTATATTATAGTAATGCATAATTAGTTCATCATCACAGCTTCAAAATTTATATCTGCTGTCATTTAATACTGCTGAACTCACAAGTCAGTGATATCATGGTGTAAAATACTAAACTAATTAATCTACAAGATATTCCACTAGATACAACTGGTTATGAATTTCGATTCCGATGATGAGCACTCAGTAAAGTTAACTGGTGTTTATCATTGTAGAACATGATTTTGGAATTCATTTTACATGTAGGATCAGAACATTGAGCCACCCGACCTACACTTTATAATGGATCCAGTAGACGTGGTACAAGGGTTAATCAGCGAACTGGATGTATGAGATGTGTTGTTGACGTTTGGGAAAGTAGGACGAGGGGAAATGTGTAGGGAGTGAAGTGCCGTAAAGGGATAGTTAGATGTATTATGAATGGTTAGAGTGGCTGTGGTGTTATGGTGAAATACTATGCCGCCACCGTAACACCACAGCTTTATCATTTGTTAGACAGGAGTGATGTAATGGGTGTCAACAACTGGGTATGCTGGTACCGTCGCAACGTAGCCTTGAAATATATATTGTGGGGGGGAGGGGCGGAAACGGAAAAATATACAATGTTGACAGTATGTGCCAGGCATGAGGCTGCGCAGACCGAGCGGCAGCTCGATAGGGAGTGTGTGGGAGGGTCACCCTCATAAAAATTTTTTTTTTTAAATTTCAGTTTTCTGTAAGCAGTGAAAACACTATTTTGGCATTGTTTGCGGGGTTAAACCTAAAAATCACATTAATACACCTATTGCACGATATTGTGAAACTAGCTGACGAAGACAGCTCGGGCGGCGATTGTTCGACTCGGGGCTGCTCTGTCAGTATCTAACAAACGCATTTAGTTCGCGTACAACTTTTAAAAACCGAATGTCAGTATGGTATTTCTCACATAATTGGTTATCGCAAAAACAGAGTAAACTGAAAGCGAGTAATCTCGACTCAAACCTATAGTCTATAGCCTACTTACTACACCGTCACTAGGCTTCCTATATTATTGTTTGTGGACGGTTTACTACTCAGTGATAAGCCTGCGCCGCAAAAAGAGGTCTCGCCTTTTATTATTAGTATAATGACTTCCTCATGTGCGGTAGGTTAGTTTGCTTCTAAAAACACTGTTTTCCGTTCCAAAAAATACAAAAGTAATTTTCTACCAGATGACCATGGTTCTTTTCACTGAGACTAGATAATTTCTCTCGGTGTAAGGATATAGCTATGGATAAGTTCATACAAGGTCAATAAATCCGCGGTCACTTCGGGTCACACTGTTGAGAAAATAAACCGATGGGTTTGTTTAGTAGCAAATCGAGCGTGAATCAACTGAGTTTGTACTGAAAAATTTTTGAGTGATATGTATGAACTGTCTTCACACATTCGGTTTATAATTAGCGATACACAGGTACAGTGGCAAGTGTTGTACTTCACAGACTGTTTACCTCGGAACTACCTCCGCACGAAATCCCCGATTTGGGTACTTGTTAAGAAATAGTACCTGTGCGCATGCCAGTAAAAAAAACCTAAGAGTTCGCGCATAAAAATGCCCGAACGTACCAGGCGACAGGTTATCCAGTAACTATTTACAAACTTCTCCTGTTGATAAAATTAACATATTGTGACATAAATGTATAGCTAAGCTGCCTGAAATTGTCTACAGTATTTTGGTTAGATACCTGCTATATGAAAAGAGTCTTTGTATATTAACCATTGCAAACTGTTGGTTGTGGTGATTAGAAGGTTATGTACAGAATATGCGACATTTTCGTGTGATTTATAAGAAGTTTTTGTTGAAATATAAAGTTTACCAATTTACGGTACTAAACAGGAAATGACAATTGTATATGTTTTAATAATTTCAATGTCTGTTACAGAGAATATTTGTTCATTCTAGCAAGAAGGGTGGCAAGGAAAGCCTCAAATTTATGGGGAATATTACTGTTAATAGCATCAATAACCCACGCTACAGGTCACAGTAAGTGATTGGAGTATTTGTGCTCCAGACAACATTGACCTTTTTGTATCAAGCTGACAATGTACAATATAAAAATGCATGTAAACCAAAACTAAAAGAACTTTTGACAGTATAATACGATCTAATCTAAAACAATATGAGACTATAACAAAGACATGGTTTGGGAGTTAGCAGAAGCTCTCTGTATACCATTTCAAGGCCTATTAAAACTTTATGAATTTTTTGATATCTATAGAAAATATTCATCATCGTAAAAAGAAGTTTTTGATATTGTACTTACTACTATGACTGGGCTGCATTAGATAGTAATTAGTAAGTTAATGAAGTAGTTAATACTTTCTTATTTATTTTGGTAATTGTGTTAATGTCTTTGATTATAATCCTGTGTATGTTTTCATGCCATCCTACCATATAACATTGCTAGGTTCTTTGATCTTATATTGACTGTCACTTATATATTACATATGTATGACAAACGATAACAATTCCAATACAATCTACATAAAAACTTATAGCATGTTAGTTTAACATAGGGTGGGTATTACAGAAAAGTCTGATGCACATTAGCATTTTTATATTCTAACAATTAATTATTGGATAAGCTCAAGTGTTGACATTAAAACATACTATACAGGAATATAACTCTGCTTCAAATATCTAAATATTTTAAGTCACAAAAAGCTTCTAAAATAGATAAATAGAAGAACTATGACAGAGCTTCTACTCTTATCATTCTTGCTTTTTAGTATTATTGGAATTTTCAACTCATATACTATGTTAGATTACTACCGAAAATAAAAATCAATAATATTAAAGAATATATAGATGGTGTTTAATTTGAATTTTTGATATGATAAAATAAGTACCCAAAAACCGAACTATATTTTCCTTTCTTGAAATGTAATTTATACACATGTAAGGTGAGTTATGTATATGTTACATGTGTATGTTAAGTTACATTACATGTGTATGTTATGTTATTGTTTTGTATATGCTATGTACATGTTATATTTATGAATATGTTATGAATGTTATATATGTATGCTGTGTATGTAAGTTATGTTAAATACATAAAAGGATTAATTGATATTAATTAAAACAAGAACCAAACTGTTATTAAATACACATATTGGTCAAGCAATTAAAAATTATATATAATCCAAGCCACCAGTAAAAGTAATATAGAAAATAGATACTAAAAAAATATATCCATAAAATTATGGAATTTTTAACTTGTGATATAAAATATTTATATAACTATAATACATCAAAAATAGATTATACTGAGCAGACCAGCAAGTATGATTCCCTTTTAATGAGGCATATGTGGAAAAAACTAAATACATGCTATAGAGAATAAAATTAAAAGAAAAAAGTGTTAAATAAACAAAATGTGAAAGAGACAGTCTTACCTTTATTTACTATAACCACACAGAGAGCACAAAAGAGAAACAACAAGTATACAAATTATCAACTACACATGTACCACAATTCAGTGCTTGGATAATAGTAAAAACAAAATAAGTTAAGAACAAGAGAAAAAAAAAAGAAGATATTGTGGAGAAAGGACAGATCTGAACAAGAGAATCTTTTAAAATGTGTGACAAGAGGTATAAGAAGCCAACAGTGAGACAGATGTCTGCGGCTGCAATCCCAAAACAAATAGATGACGCATATTACTTTATTGCACATTTATCTTTTTGAAAAGTATAGAGCAATTAAACTGATTATCTATACTTAGTCCAAGCAAAAAATATTTTGAAGTACCTGGTAGTGAAACTATACACTAAGTTTCTTCACTCTCCATCAGTTAAAATCAAAGTTATTTTGTCCCAAAGTATCAACCAATGAAATTGCTTAGCTCTGCTTCGCTTTGGCAGAAAATGTTAATCATTGAACTCAGTCAAGACTCAGTCACCTAATGAACATCTACACCAAGTTTAAAAAAAAACAACACTTCAATTAAAAGCTGAGTTATGTTACAAAGTCTTGACCAATCAATTTGCTTATCGCTACTTTGCCTAAGCAGAAAATTCTCATCATCGAACTTAGTCAAGGTATTTTTTTTTTTTCTTGATAAGTCAAGGTATTGATATAATGAATCTATACTCTTGAGTTTCATCACTCTCACACAATTAGAACCAAAGTTATCTTGTTTCAAAGTCTCAACCAATCAAATTACTTATCTCTGCTTAGCCTTAGAGAAAAATGTGCATGATCTAACACTGTCAAGGCATTCACCTAATAAACACCTACACCAAGTTTGAACATTCTACCTCAATTAGAATGAAGTCGCTACTTAGCCAGAGCAGTAATTGCTCTTCATCGAACTTAGTCAAGGTATTTATGTAATGAATAATGAAAATATTCACAAAGTTTCATCATTCTCACTCAATTAAAATCAAAGTTATCGAGATCCAAAGTCTGGACGATTCAAATTGCCTATCGCTCTGCTTACCCTGAGCAGAAAATGCTCATTATCGAACTTAATCAAGGTATTTATGTAATGAAACTATACACCAAATTTCATCACACTCACCAAAGTTATTGTGTTCCAAAGCATCGACCAATCAAATTGTTTATCTCTGCTTACCCTAAGCAGAAATGCTCATCAAGGCATTCACCTAATAAACACCTACACCAAGTTTGAACATTCTATCTCAATTATTGAACTTTGTCAATTGATGCAATGAAAGCTGACAGA